TAGATCACAGTACTGAAAGGCATGTGACTTGATTCTTTTCCATGAAACATTTTTCGAATTAAAAGCAAGCCCCCCAGCGCTATGTGCTCCATGGGAGTAAACTTACAGATACTATGCTGGGGGTTACCAGACATCCCCGTTTCCCCGGGACAGTCCCCAGATTTGCAAATCTGTCACTGGACAAATTCCATCCCCAGAATGTCCCTGGATTTCATTAATTGTCCCCGGGAAATGTGATAGCAGCAGCAGCAGAGGCGGAGCAAGGCAAGTGCCGCGTGCTCCAGGTGCCATCCTGATGAAGGTGACACTCGTTGTGTCACACGCGCTGTTGCCCCCGTACTCCCAGCTGGAGGAGGGAGGCAGGCAAGAGAGAGAGAGGATGAGCTGTGTGGGGCTTTACCGGCACCCCCCTTCCCCCAGGCTCGGGGTACACTTGGGAGTCGGGGGGCGCCGGCGCTCCCTGCTGATGATCCCGCTGATCTTGATCCGAGCCAGGCAGAGCCTGGGAGTTCTCTCTTCACCATCAGAAGGCTCTTCTTTTTTTATTTTTTGCCTTCTCCTCTTCTGCCTGCAGCAGCTGCTGATTGGCGCCTCCTGAGTCCCAAAGACAGATGTGTTCTGGGCAGTTTCTGTCTGCCATGACTCTTTTAAAAAAAGTCAGAAGAGAGTATGCGGGAAGATTGGGTGGTGGAGTAAGCCCCGCGCCCTCCGTGCAAGTTGCAGAAGGGAATCAGAGGTTTGCCTTGGGCTCTCCTTTCCTTCTCTGTCCTTTTGGGATGTGAACCCAAGCCCAGCAACCAAAAGTTTTAACATGGTCCAAAAAGGGTTTTTTTCCATAAAGCAAAAAATGAGGGGTGTTGTTTATGGTAGAATGAAACAATCTGTTCTGTATGTAGTTAGCACACAGAATTCCTTCCCCCCAATACTTCCTGGATAGGCCAGAATCACATAGCATTGAATCTAGCATTGTTTGTAAAGATCTTATCTTGCGTTCTGCAACTGAATTTTCTTCAGGCGAAAAAGGACACAATTTACGGTGACTAATACCACGCTTTTTCAACCAAACTTGGAGGGCTTCAGACATGAACTCGCCTCCACGATCACTTTGCAACTGGGTAACTTTGTAGGGAAACTGCCTTTCTATATAGTTGACCCAATTCTTAATCAGTTGACCAGTTTCACTTTTGTGTTTTAACAAATATACCCAAGTATACCGGCTATAATCATCCACAAGAACCAAAAAAAACTTTGCTCCTCCTTCAGACTCTGCAAATGGCCCACAAAGGTCTGAATGTACTAAAGCAAATGGCCTCTTGCTAATTCTAGTACTTTCAGGATAAGACCCTTGCTTACTTTTAGACTCCTTGCAGGTATTGCAGTCTAGAAAAACTGAACATTTTTTCATTTTAATTCCCTTGCTTAATTCTGGCATTTTTGCAATACTGCGGAAATTGGCATGCCCCAAACGAAGATGCCACAGATGCTGGCACTCATCATGCAAGGCTCTATTACAGGCTTTAACACATGCCCCAGACTCACTTACTAGCTGGTCTTTCAAAACAAACAAACCATTTTGTAGTGACGCTGTAACCACTTTTCCAGCTTTCTCTATTCTACAGCCTGAACCAGAAAAGGTTACTTTAAATCCCTGCTTAACAAGACTTGTAACTGAAAGCAAATTATTTTCTAAACTTGGTACACATAAAACATTGGTAAACTTGGTACTTAAACAGTTGATATTCACACTACCCTTTCCAGCTGACTCATGCACTGTTCCATCAGCTAGTACTACATTTACAGATTTACAAGGCTGCTTTTCTACAAGGGTTTGTGCAGACTTAACAAAAATGTTTGTCGCTGCTGAGTCTAAAATCCAGTCTTGTCCAACGTCGTGACTGGTGCCTCGAACTGCTGCAGAAACATACTGGACTCGACTCTTCCTGTCTCCTCGCTTCCCAGCAAACGCAGGCCGCCCTTGTCTTGTATTTTCTCCCACAGACACAGTGCACTGTCGTACTAAATGCTTGGTTGACCCACAACGATAGCATCTTCTAACTGTGAACGCTGCTTCCTCTCTGTGGTCTACAACCTCTTTAGGATGCCGCTCCTCATCAGTTGCATATCTTTTACTGGACTGCCTCCCATTTCTGGAGTTACGGTGAGGGGTTGTGGCCTTCCTCTCATGGCGTCTTTCCTCCTCATCAAGCAAACGCCCAGTTAAGAAATGCATTGTTAATTGGCTTTCTGGGATTGCTTCCAGAGTCATCACTAAATTGTCCCATGACTCAGGAAGTGAAGACAGCACAATATAAACTTTTCTCTGTTCAGAAAAATGTTCCCCAAGTTCATTTAACTGTGAAAATAAATCACGCATTCTTTGAAGGTGTGTTGAAACACATTCACCCTCACTTAGTCTGGCTCGGTACAGAGCTCTCATTAGAGTAATTTTGCTGCCAGCAGTGTCTCTAATATGTATTGCTCTCAGTGCTTGCCAAATCTCACTTGCTGTTTCAAGGTCTCGCACATGAGATAACTGAGACTTCTCTAAACTCAAAATTAAATTGGCATAGGCTTTGTCCTCCAGCCTTTGGTCTGCTTCATCTACTTCTTCATCCTCCTCTTTTACAGGAGGGTTAACAATAACAGTCCAACATTGTTCTTTCTTTAAAAACGCCTGCATCTGTAAACTCCATGACATATAATTGGACTCTCCCAGTTTCTCTACTGGAAAATAGGAAGCTCCCCCTTGAGCTCCAGCTCCAAGTCCAGCCATGGCACCACCCAGCTTTCAGCTTTCCACTCAGTTCTTACTCACACGTGGCTTGAAGAAATGTTCGGCTCCTGGTCCCAAACAGACACTCCCTGCCGATGCCTTCACACAGCCAGCTGCTTGAGAAACGCTGAGTTGCTTCCAGTCTCTGGGTTCTTTTCACGCTCTGTCTCTGCCCACTCAGGACTGGGGACTGGGCCCATAACCTGTTGGAGGGGGATTTCCAGCCGGTGGCAGAGGACAGAGTGACTCCAGGAGACATAGGTGTAAAAACCCAAACTAAAACGAAGACTTTATTACTAAGCAAATAAACACAAACTCTGGTGGGTGTTATTCCTGCAGGCAAGCAACAAAACTCAGCCTTTTTCCTTTATAGCAACGGTCACCTGCAGCCAATTAATCCCAGAAACTTCTTAAAGGTATACACACATGTTTCTGTGCCGAATGTCCTCTAACATTCAGGTCCCCTGCCTATGTGTGTATGTACACAAATGTGTGTGCCAAACTGGGTCTTTGACCCAGGTGAAATAAAGTCTACATACGCCCCTGGATGGAAGCGGTGCTTCTAAATGACAGGAATATAATATTACACCAGGGCAAAACTTCTAAGGGCCAGTCCATAGCTCGGCTTAATGTGGATTGTGAACCCCTTGTGCCTCCATTAATTATGGATAATAAAGCATGAAATAAAAAAAAGGGTCCCTGGATCCTTGAAAAAAATCTGGTAACGATATACTATGCAGATATGTGTAATTTCACTTAGTTGGTATTTAGAAAATGGAGCAGAGGGGGAGAGTTTAATTAACCTCCCCCAGCTCTACAGTCACTATCTGAATGGATGCTTTAAAAAAGAAATATCCACTCATCTGGGACTCCAGGTGGGTGGCCGTTGCCGCATGGCGCAGTTGTGGTGGGTCCATGGAGGCCACCATCTTCTGTCAGGCCCGCAGGTGAGGGCAGGCAGTGCCCACTCAGCCAATCTGAGGCAGGGGCTGGGGGCTGTGAACAGCCCATCCCCAGCCTATTTACCCTGGGATTTTCCACCCACCCAGTCTTTAGGGGCCAACTTGGGGGGGAAGCTGGCACATTGCCTATGGACCTTTCTGTGGTTTATTCGGTCACCGTATTCAGGGCCAGGGAGGAATTTTCTCCTGCAAGCAAATTGGCTGCCTTGCAGGTTTTCACCTACCTCATAGCAACCATCACAACTTGGGCGGATAAGGCACTGGGGTGGATCCTTAATCACAAGGGTACCCTGTTACCCAGGAGGGGTAACTCTGTCTGGGAGTCCCAACGGTGGCCTGTGCAGGATCGTGGCATCCAATCCATGTTGGAGGCGACTCCCCAGCACAGGTTTGATCCCACCAGGTTCCTATCAGGTAGCAGGTGGGCTGCCAGATGCCCAGTGCCTTAGCCAAACCTACTCTTTCCTGTAACCAATAAAGTTGTAGCCTAATTCAACCCAACACCAGTCTCCTGTGTCATTCTTGTGGCTCTCCCTTCACCTGACATGGTCATTATGTGCCTGTGCCGGCAAAACCCTGGGAGACAGGAGATCACCAATATCTCAGGTAGTTTCTCCCTTATTCAGCCACCCCTTTGGCACCTGAGATTTCATGAGGCAGCACTTAGTAGCCTATCTTTGCAGCCCTAAGAGCTAGAAATTTGCATTCTTAAGGAAAATAGCCTCAGAATTCAGAATTGCCAGAGCTCTTTAACAATCAATCCTTCTTCTCGGGGTACTCTGGAAACACTAACTTTTTGAGAGCAATAGGGATCTCCTGAGTCCACCCCTCCAAAAAAAGGTCCCACCACTTTCGCAGGACATGAATGGTCATTTTAACGTGTGGAGAAGCAATATTCAACCTTACTCTAATGCACACACATTTACCCATAAACAAAAAACAAACAAACCCAGATCCTCACCCCAAGGAGCTTACAATGTTGGCAATGGAAAGAGAACAGAGATGGTCAAAAGTAGGACTAACAGTGGATAGGTGTGAACAAATACAGTTACAGTATGTATAACTAAATGCTTGTTGCAGGTGGGGATGAAGATGGAGGCAGGCGAGGAGGCGCAGCTAAACCAAGAGGTCTGCCTTGGTGATATGGCTAACTAAACAGCTCTGAAGATCTTGATTTACCACTGTGGTACCTGATGGCAGGTCCTGATTGATTCAGCAAGGGGCAACGTTGAATCTGCTCACTGTGTTTTATTTTGTAATTTCAGAAAAAGAGCCGAGAAGAGACATGTGGTGAAGGCAGTGGTGTAGAGATTTTGGAAAACAGACCATATACAGATGGTCCTGGTGGCAATGGGCAGTATACCCACAAAGTATACCATATTGGTATGCATATCCCCAGTTGGTTTCGGTCTATACTGCCAAAGGCAGCTTTAAGAGTTGAGGAGGAGTCATGGAATGCGTATCCTTATACAAGGACAAGGTACTACCTCTTATAAGAGCTTTTCATTTCTGTAGCTCACTTAACAGTTGACATTGGCTTGTATTAACAACAGCTCTATGTGGTAGATAGGCCACAAAAAGTCCCATTTTGTAAAATGGAGATGTGAAGATAACAGGTAAAATAAACACCCTCCTTGTTGTTGTTTTAATTAACCTTCACCACACATGGATTCAAGGGCATGTGAACGTGTTGATATTTTGCTCATGCTAAAGGAGTTGTCTAACTTTGCCACAGGTAGCAGTGGTGCCTGAGAATGAGGGTAGAACTTCAATTTTTTGCATTTTAATGAGAAATTATCTAATTTGCACTTCTCAAACCAATGTGTGATTCAAAACTCAATTGTTCTTCAAAATTCTCACTTCTATTAATTTTGTTGTGCAGTTCGCCACCAAATATTGTGTACAAAATGCTCTTTTGGGGGGAAATGTGCACAAAAGTATATACATTAATTAAAGTAGTATATTGTCTAAAATAATATATTTTTGCCAAGTTAGCAAACGCTGGATGTTCATCTTATGAAAACTAAGATGCTAATGAAATCTATGCTACACTATAAGTCATTGAGGCTCTCCCCCCCCCCATTCTCTTCTGGAAGAAAAGCACCTGTATTTATGTGGGTGTTCAAATTATTTTTGAAGGACTTTGGAGTGTAGAAGCTTTAGGTTAAGCTTCCCTGATGCTATTTCTTTCTCAGGTATACGTGCCCATTTGTGGAGAAATTCTCTATTGATATTGAAACCTATTACATATCTGACTCAGGAGAGCAAGCCAACGTCTTCAACCTTTCCCCTGCAGAGAAAAGGCAGACCATTCTTGGTGAGTATTTTCTTCCCACTCCCAATCTTTCATTCTGCCTAACAGTGGCTTGTGTGTGCATGTAAACAACTATAGTGTTCATTATTTGTATGGTGAGCCCTTTATATGTTTGAAGATGGCTATCTCCTCTCAGTCTCTCCTTTTCCAGACTCAGCATACCCAACTCCCTCAACCATTCCTCATAAGACTTGCTTTTCAGACCCTTTATCATCTTGGTTGCCCTCCTCTGCACATGGTCCAGCTTGTCAATATTCTTCTTAAATTGTGGCTCCCAGAACTGGACACAGGACTCCAGGTGTGGTCTGAGCAAGGCAGAATAGGGCGGGAGTATGACTTCCGTTGAATGGGATGCTGGAATTCTGTTGATGCAGCCTAGAATAGCATTAGCTTTTTTTTGCTGCTGCATCACACTCTTGACTCATGTTAAGTGTGTGATCTATTAAGACCCCTGGATCCTTTTCATATGTACTACTGATAAGCCAGATGTTTTATATTTGTGCAGCTGATTCTTCCTGACTAAATTACCTTAATTTTGTCCCTATTGAAATACATTTTGTTAGTGTGGGCCCCGTTCTCCAGTCTATTAAGGAGAAGGTAATCTTGAATTCTGTCTTCTGTGGCATTAGCTACCCCTCCCAGTTTGGTGTCATCTGCAAATTTGATGAGCATTCCCTCAATTCCTTCATATAAGTTGTTTACTTTTTAAAAAAGAAATGAACAGCAATGGGCCTAGGATGGAACCCTGCAGTTTTTATGTGTTTGTCTCATGAAGTTCTATTTTGTTATATGGATTATATGGATAAAATTCAAAAGAATACTTTCCAAAAATGTGTTTATTAGGATAAATAGCATTAAAATGCTGAAGAATTTGGATTGATGAGGAGCTCAGGAGGGCCAGGGACAGAGGTCAGGGAACGGCATTCATCCCCTAAACCTGAGGTTCCTCACCCCTAGATTAAGCAATTGTTTAACTCAGTGCAGGGCATATTATAGTGCCAATGTGCATGGTGCTTTAGCATATGCAAAAAGCAAGCCGCTGCCCTGAGGGGCATACACATAAAATTCCACAGTGGAAAGTTGGGAGATAGATGGAAATGCCGAGAGAGAGGATGAGGTGACAAGGAATAAACATGTTTGTCACCATCTGAATGTTAATGTTCCCCCATTCTGGACATTCACCTTGTGCCATCCATACATATCAAAGTCATATTCAGCATTGCTAGGTGACAAAGGTACCATTCTTGAGTGTCAGAACACAGATTTGGGAACTAGGGAATATGCACTTCATCTCTGGGCTCTTTCTTAAGGATTGCATTCTGGACCACCAAGAAAATAGAGTGAAGCTGGTGTTTGTTCCTGGGCCTCAAACACATGGTGTGTGAGTGTGCCAGTGACAGCAGATATCTTAATTAGTTTTGGCTGCAGTCTCTGCCACACCAGAACTTGCTGGCTGAGGCAGAGAGGAAGCACAGGGTCTGGTGATGTCAGTGAACTGCTTTGACTTGTCCAGCGTCAATATTTGGGAGGGCTGGTGCTTTTGCTTGGAGACTTGTAAATCCTCCTGGCACCCCTGAACTGTATCTCAATCCTTAAAGCATTTCTGCACATAATCAGGCAAAAGCTTGCCTTGGGGGATAGTGTTTGAACAGCCAGTACTCACCCAAATATCATTCCCTCGATGTTTCCAAAGTTCTGAAGTGAGTGTAGAGCCTCACCATCCACACAGAAGCAGGCTTCAGGGAAGCCCAAGATTATGGCAAAGGCGAGTCTCTGGAGCCAACTTATTGACTGCATCTCATTGTAAAGAACACCTGATTAGCACTAGTGTAGCAATAACACCTCAGTTGTCCATGCACAGTTGATGGTGATGGATGTGTCATTCGGAACCCACAGACCAGTTAATTCTCTGAGAAAATTAACTGAAATGCTGAGACGTTTTTCAGCCTGAATTTTAAATGTACCCCTGACACCAGTTTCTGCATAAAGGTTTATTTAAGAGGATAGTTAATTAGTTCTACTACATTTGTATGAAACCTCTTCCCTTTGTTTAAGTGTTTGTTAAATAACTCTCAAGGCTTAAAAAGGCAGAAAATGTGAGCTGCAGGAAGACTGTGGTGGAGCATTAGCAAACAAAACAGTGTGTCTGCACTGTCTGTGGGGCTGCCAGCTGCTTTGTGTCTAATGCAGAAAATTTAGATGCTTCCCTTCCTTCTGTTAAATCAGGCATGAGAGAACCTGTTGAACTTCAGCCCCATCCTCCCTGACCATTGGCTGTGATGGCTGGGACTGATGGGAATTGGAGTCTAGCAATAGCTGAAGGACCAAGGGTTCTCTACACCTACAGTAAATAATAAGGTCATTTTCACACTGTACATTTAAGGTACTCTTATACCACTTTAACAGTCATTATTTCCCACAAAGAAGCAGTTCCCAAGCTGTTCTATACAACCTTCACCAACCTGATGCCTTCCAGATGTTTTGGACTCCAGCTCTCACCAGCCCCAACCAGCATGCTCAAAGGTCAGGAACAACATCTGGAGAGCACCAAGTTGGGGACAGCTGATGTAGCCAATACTACAGTAGATGGATCAATAGTCTGACTAAGGCAGCTTCTGATATTTCTAAATCCTAAATTTCAACCTGCTGTTATTGTCCTACAAGTCCTGACCTATATGAATGATTCTTGGTGCACATGAGCAACAACATGTTGTTTTCGGTCTGTTTGACCTTCATACTGTAGAAACTTGTGGAACTCCAGTTTAAATCGTCTGTGTTCTACAACCACATTAGAAAATGGTCAATTGATATTGATGTAGCCAATTTGTTTGTTCTATGATTTAAACCTCTGAGACATAGCATTTTTCAAAAGAGATGTTGTGGTCAAATCGTACAGAGAATTCTCTGATTGCCTGCTTCACACACACACACACACACACACACACACACACCTGGAGTAAAGTTTCTCTTTGAGACTTCTTCAGAGAAAGGAAATGCCAGCCTCTGACTCACTTGTGTAAAGTGTTTAAATACCAGTTGTTTAAGTCTAAACAGTTATGAAAACAAAACAAAGCTTTGATGAAATTATGTTTGGAGTTCCATGCACTTCAATGTTTTTGTTTAAACTACTTTTCTGGACTTAGATCCCATTGATATTGTTAAAGATCCCATCCCTCCACACGAATACAAATCAGAAGAAGATCCAAAGCTATATAAATCAGTGAAGACCACAAGGGGTCCTCTGTCAGAAGACTGGATCAAAGAGCACAAGAACAACCCTGGGAGATACCCTATGATGTGTGCATACAAGCTGTGCAAGGTGGAATTCAGATATTGGGGGATGCAGTCTAAGATTGAGCGCTTCATTCATGATGTTGGTAAGTTTTTAACTCACTGAGCTCTGCTCAGCATATTTGCTCCTGGCTCAGTCATTAAGAGGCTGACATTATGGAAGAATCTTGAAAAGCTGCCTGGGGCTGATGGGAATTGAACTCAATTTGGAGGGCCACAGGGTTTTTTTGTCCCTGGGCTCACCCATAGACCACACCTTCCTACCAAAGGTTGGTGTTAGGAGGGTGCTGGCAGGACTTGGCCCCAGAGCCAGACCAGAGCTAAGCCCAAGAACAAAGTTCCAGTTAAATCTGCATGAACTGGTTCAGGGCATGATCTGAAGGCACATGACATGGCAGCCTTGTGGAAACTAAGTAGTTCTGGGTCTGGTCAGTGCTTGGATGGGAGAATGCAAGGACTGGCCAAATACATTTTGCTGCCTGAGATTAAAGATAAGTTGAAACACACACCCATTCCACATACAGCCAGGCTAGCAATTTAACTTTATTTCAACATTGGTGATAAGACACCTTTGTCCACCACACCTGAGGGCAGCATCTAGCTTGCACATACAAGGCAGGCTCTGGCTTCCAACCCATTTCCTCTGCCCCACACACCCCAGCACTGGGAGTGGCCATCTCACTCTGCCTAATGGTAGGGCCAGCCCTGGAGACTGCATTGCAACTTTATGTCCTCAAATACATCAGAGAGCCCTTGCAGAACCCCAGGGGGGGAAAGCCAAGGCTAGAACTCCAGGCCATATGTTGAGCAGAGGTCTAGCTTACCAGAATGTTATGGAGGCATTCAAGATTTATTAAGAAAAACATAAACCTTCATAAGTCCAGAATTCCAGGAGGGGAGATCTGGGTATGTACAGGAATCAGCATCCAAGTGTAGCACTGAAGCTTTTGTTGATCAACAATGTGTTGAAATGTGGTGATGCCCCCTAATGTGTGTTCTTATTAGCTAGATCAGTGGCCTGCTGAAAAATTTTGTGTCTCCCTGTCCCCAACCCCAAGGCTTGCGGAAGGTGATGGTTCGGGCCCACAGGCAAGCTTGGTGCTGGCAGGATGAATGGTACGGGCTTACCATTGAGGACATCCGGCAGCTGGAAAAGGAGGCACAACTGATGCTGGCACAGAAGATGGCCCAGTTCAGCTGCAATGAGAGCGAGCTGGAGCAGCACCTTCCCAAAGACCCCCTGGATGAGAATGATACGGAAACAAAGGCCATATCTCCATCCACCGAGGCGGTGGACACTGCTAGCAATATCGGTGAAGCCTTGCCAGGGAGAGTGCTGACCAAGCAGTGGTCGACGTCTTCCAAGTCCTCTTCAAAAAGAGGAGGTGAGTCACAACCACCTGGTTAGTTTCAAAAGGAACAGAGTATGTAGCTAACAACTTCTGAAGGTTGATGTACAGAGTCATAGCGTTTGGTTGTGGCATAAAGCTGAAAGAGTGATGCGGTGCAGTGCCACAGCACCTGCCTGTGTGTTGTGGTGGGTGGGGTGCTAGAAGCTGTCACACTCCAGCCTCTATACACCACCAAAATGAGCTGAGGGCCACCACCGGCTAGTTCCCGCTCTGTAAGGTGTTAATGGCTGGTTTCCTGCTAGAGGAAGCATTATAGAATCGTCCTGCCTATTACAGTTCCTTCCCTCCAAATCCCTCAGCATTGATTTGTATGTTCATTTCTCCCTGGTGTGTGCTTTGTTGTGAAACTTGTGAAACTTTGTTGGAGAACTTTATTGAAAAATTCAGATAAGTGCAAATTATGTAGAATGTGTTTCAGTTTTCATATTGTTTGGAAAGTACAGATTTGATAAATTTGGCTTTAAATGAAAACTGAATCAGTTTCTCCCAATCACTAATTGCTAGTCACTCACCCCCTCAAATTACTGCAGTTTGTTGGGAAGAAATTGACTACCGATCCCGTTTTCCTTCAGTGGAGATATGCTTTGTATAGTGACCCTGGGAGAGATAGGATTTGATCCCACAATTCCAAGATCCAAGCCCAGCTCTGATGAAACCAATAGGCCATGCTCTCCATGCTCACCTGCTTCTGAGGACCCAGATAGGACACTTGCTTTAACCAAGTCTGGGTTTATCCCAACCCCAAACGAACATTCTTGCATTCCTGATGTGCTCTTCAAACAGTGAATGGAAGATGTTTCCATGTGGACATGCCACAGGAATAGCCCTCGTAGAGCATAGCAGGCATTCCTGAGAGAGTTTCCTTTTAGTTCGGTAGAAGTTCGGTAGTTCTTCTATTCTGAAGAAATGTTATACTCCCTGACGGACATCAGTATGAATTCTTTATAGGTTTACAACCTAGAGGTGTTTTGTTCCTTTGAAAAGCTACAGGCCAAGAAAATGTTCCAGTGGGTCAGGTTCCCTTCTTTGTTGGTGTTCTTTTCCAGCCATCCTTCATTGTGAGACAGTAGTGGATTTGGGTCCCCCCCGATATGGACTGTATAATAGAGCTATCATGGTCTATAGTGTACAGTTGGTTCTTTTGCCTATCTGCTAAAGATCTGGTCAAACAAATCTTTTAAACACTGCAAAAAAACACAAACCAGAGGTCCTTTGGCTGGGACGGAGCGATATGGGATTGAGGGGGCAACTCCCATCTCTTGCGGGGGTGCAATTAGTGCCAACATCATCCGTTAAGAGTTTGGGTGTAATCTTCGATACCTCCCTCTCTATGGAGGCACAGATTACAGCTATAACAAAGGCGGCATTTTTTCATCTCCGCCAAGCTAAGCAGTTGGCTCCTTATCTCCCTCGCCCTGACCTAGCCACTGTGATCCACGCGACGGTCACCTCCAGACTGGATTATTGTAACTCGCTCTACGTGGGGCTGCCCTTGAGACTGACCCAGAAACTCCAGCGGGTGCAGAATGCCGCGGCGAGACTCATTATGGGGTCTTCGCTGCGAGATCATATCCATCCGGTATTATACCAGCTGCACTGGCTCCCGGTGGAGTACAGGATCAGGTTTAAGGTGCTGGTTTTAACCTTTAAAGCCCTATACGGCCTAGGACCCTCGTACCTACGGGACCGCCTCTCCTGGTATGTCCCACAGAGAAATCTACGGTCTGCAAATAAAAACATCCTAAAGATCCCAGGCCACAAAGAGGTTAGGCTGGCCTCAACTAGAGCCAGGGCCTTCTCGGTCGCGGCTCCAATCTGGTGGAACACTCTGTCACAAGAGACTAGGGCCCTGCAGGACCTGACATCCTTCCGCAGGGCCTGCAAGACCCACCAGGCCTTTGGTCAGGGTGTAGCCTGACCCCCTCCTCTGGCAATCGGCAATCTGCACAGAATTTGGCTTGATGGTTGCCATTAATTTGATTTTAATTTGATTTAATTAATTTTATAATGAATGTTTTAGAATGTCGGATTATTTTGATTGTTGTTAGCCGCCCTGAGCCCAGCTTCGGCTGGGGAGGGCGGGATATAAATAAAATTTATTATTATTATTATTATTATTATTAAACCGTATGAAGGAGGAGCATAACAGGGTGAGTGTCCAGACTGTGGACAATCATGGCACTGAATCAGGGGTGGGGAACCTGTGGCCCTCCAGGTGTCATTGGACACCAGTTCTCATTAGTCACAGATCAGAATGCAGGAAAAAATAATTCAGGAAGAATTTAAAGCTGATCCTATAACATCTGCACTTTCTGAAACAATATACAAACTGAAAAACACCTATCCTTCAACATTCACACTGTAATTCCCCAAACAATGTTCAAAAAAGTCGTAGAGGACAGTTATGCATGAAAATGAAGATATTATTTGAAATAACATTCAAAAATGCATTATATTGGGGGAAATCGCTTGCAAAAACATGTCCATTAGTCAGAATTGCATATAAAAATGTGTTTATTAGGAGGGTTTTGGACTAAAATGCTGAGGAATTTTTATGATGAATTTTTAAAAAAAGAATTTGCAAATTGTAGAGAACTGGATTTGAGACTGTGAAAATGAGACACTGAGAAAACCAAAATGTACAGATCCTTAGTCCCAGCCCTCATGGCCAATGGTGAGGGATGATAACCTAACAGTATCTGGAGGGTCACAGGTTTCTCATACTTGTTCTATAGCTATCACTTTTTGAAACCACCAGTCTTTTCCCCACCACGAGAACACAGAGGAATCCAGATATGCCAAGTGCTTCTTTTAGGGTTGCTTTGTTTTGTCAGCCAAAGTCAATTTGTTTGTCTAAAGAAGTGTTCCTGGTTAGTCAGGCTACTGACGTTAATGTTTCCAATATTATTTTGCATTCCAGTACTCATAAAAACTGTAGGTGGCAAGCGCTGTCTTAGAAGGGGCATTCTGTGATAAGAGACATAATGGGGAATGCCTCTTCTAAGATGTGATGACCATAAAACTAAAATATACTTCTTATCACAAAGGACATTAGAAGTGCCCTGCTGGATCAGGCCAAGGGCCCATCTAGTCCAGTCCTCTCTTCTCACAGTGTCCAACCAGGTGCCCATGGGAAGACTGAATGCAAGCAGAAACGGAGGGCAACAGCTCTCGGCTTTCTTTAGAACTGCTGTGTCGTCCCCCCCCCCCTTATGTGCGAATGTATGCAGATTTAATCAATTAATTGATTAACCTACTAATATGATTCATCAGCTAAGATTACTTTAATTGTGTGACAGCCATAGCTTCATGGCATCAGGGTTTTGTCAGGGCACATTCTCTATCTGGCAAGAGGAGCAGGGTTGTACACTGGAAAGTGTGGGTGATGGGTAGGAGCAATAGAAATGCTTAGCGATTTACCAGGCATGGAAACTTCTGCTGTGGCATGACTGCCTCAGGCGATGTGCTTTTCCTGGACATGTGCTTGTCTAATGTGAAATGCTAGACATAAAACAATCGACACTCATCCAAGAGGCTCTATTATTGCTTGGATCCTTTAATCCCCTGTTTTGGAACTCTTTGGAATCCAGTGACCATAGCAAAGGTACCGCACCATGTTTATACATTAAGGTGTTTCCACTATCAACACCCCCCCCCATTTCTCTCTCCAAGGATTATAAATTAATAAAATGGAGCTCAAACTGCGTTGCAAACCTGGTCTCGAAAGGGAGCATTTGTGTGCTCACTGGAGGGGGAGAAAGAGACAATTTAAAGATGAGATAGGATCCTGAGTCAACTGGAGCCTTCTCCCATTCCAATGTGTGATTGGAATGAATCGTCCCTTAGAGAAGACCATACTAATCTACGGTGGATTTGTGGGACAACTTTTCTTCCACTGCCTCATCATATCACCCTGATTTGGAACAAAGAGCTGTTGTTTTGCTCTTAGGATGCTTCTCTGTGCTTAGTTCTAGAACTGGGGGGGGGGGGAGTTATTTGTTCCATTCCACTTTTGAAATCAGTTTTAGGTTAGTGCTCCTGATCCACAGATCTTTGTGCACCACAGAGGACTGCAATTGCACACAAGGGCTGCTGCACACTCATCTGTGGTGCTGAGTCCAGGAACAACACATTTAAAAGGTGGAGCTCTGGCTCAGCATTTTTGAGAAGCACTGGCTTTGGTACCCAGCGGTCGTTCATTTTCCACAGTTGCATGCATGCAGAAAGCTGCATGGAATCTCATACGCACAGAGCAGGATGTTCACTACAAGACTGCCTTCCAACCCGGAAGGCCCAAGGTCCAACCCTTCCACTCCCGGAAGGCCCAAGGTCCAACCCTTCCACTCCCGGAAGGCCCAGCGATCCTCCACCTGACTTTTGGCAGAGCTAAGCCATGAGCATATCCAACACACCCCGCTGCATCATGGCCTTGTTGCTAGCCAGGCGCCCCCATCAGACTGGATCTGGCTAGTGAGAGAAGCAAATTGCAGTGAGTCAAGTTAGGGAAGCACATCATGAGAGTCTTTTTAATCTCCTCCTCAGCTTTTTTAGGAGATGGCCACACATTTGCATGCATGACCGCCAAGGGAGATGCTCCTCAAGTTTCCTGCTGATACAGATGAGATGAAAGCGGCTTCTTTTGTCTCCTGCATGAGGGCTCGATCAGTCTTCTGCTGTGTAAGCGAGACCCCTGGTGTAAGCGGGGACCCTTGTCGCACGCACGCCTGTATTATTATCTGTTCTATTTTTAGAAGCTGTTATGCGAGGGCCTTTGACGTCAGTCCAGTGTGGTTTAGCTGTGTGCTGTCAATCACTTGGCTCCCTTATTCCTAAAGGAATGGGGTGGAATAGTCAGGGGTGACAGAGTGAATGCTGAAGCCATAATTAGCTACGCAGTTGATCCAGTGGCGGAGTGAGAGTGTTACAGCAGTGGCCTTTCTACATGACAATTAGTAAAAGTAGAATCCAAAGCCATTGGAACCAGGCAGCGGGCCTTCTCGGTAGTGGCGCCCGCACTGTGGAACTCCCTCCCATCAGATGTCAAGGAAATAAGCAGCTATCCTATTTTTAAAAGTCATCTGAAGGCAGCCCTGTTTAGGGAAGTTTTTAATATTTAATGCTGTATTGTTTTTAACACTTGATTGGGAGCCACCCAGAGTGGCTGGGGAAACTCAGCCAGATGGGCGGGATATAAATTATTATATTATATTATATTATATTATATTATATTATATTATATCATTAATTTATTTATTATTATCCCAGCACGTGTGGCTGCCTTCTGGTGGTACAATAATAAATGGGTTTTTCTTGCTGGTATGTCATTTAACGCGAACCACTACATGTCTTCTGGGTGGCTCCATGTGAGTTTAATACGCTAGAAGCTATTTGGCTGCCTTTATTAGATTATATGTGGTTGTAGCATTTAGTGTGGATTCTCTGGTGTCTGTTACCCAGCAGTGCCAACCTTCACTAAGTGGGGATAAAGGAAAGGGGGAACAAAACCAGGGTTTCCTCAGGGGAGTGCTGAGGTCAGATAAGGGCTCTGGCGAAATGTCCAGCAGCACAATAGCACTGCCATCCTTGGGGCCAAACTATAAGTGTTATGTCAATAGGGGTGAATGAGAAATTCTGATTTGTTTGCATTTTAATCAGAAATAATCTAATCTGTACTTTTCGGATCCATATGCAAACCAAAACATAGCTATCGTTCAAAATTTGCTCTTCTCTGAATTTTGCAATGCAGTTCTCCAACCAAATAGTATGTATAAATCTGCAAATATTGGGGGGAAATGTGGATTTAAAATGTTCATATTAGTGCAAATAACATACAGAAATCCTTTATATTAGGTCAAATTGCTTGCAAAAGTGTGTATTGGTCAAAACTGTAAAAAAAATTGTACATTGGGAGAAATTCACATTAAAATGCTGAAGAATTCACAAATTGCTGCAGAGATGTGGAGAACTGAATTTAACTATGGAAGCATCAGAAACTAGGAAAGTGAAACTGAAAGATTTCTCAATATTCCTACAAGCAGGTGCTTGCTTTTTATTTTTATTACTCCTGATGGGTTTGGAGTTGGTTTGTTTATTTTGGTGGTGGTTTTTATTGAAAGCTGTCTCAGAGGTAGCCATCAGGAGTAGGAAAAGGAGATGCTAGCCCTTTCCTTCCTTCCATTTGTCCACTCAAAACCACACTCAAGCTGGTTCCGTCCCTGCAGGAGGAAAGTTATAGGGCTCCCACAGAGAAGGTAATATTGAGTGGACTGACAGCAGAACGCAGTTAAGCTTTCTTTAACCACTGGAGCTGCCCACTGCTCTTCTGCTCCTGATTGTAGCAGCCAAATTTGCCATTCCATAAAACAGCTAACTGCCGGGGGGGGGGGGGGAGAACAACTAAGTTGCACCCAAGATGTCAGGGGCAGTGCAAGAGAATTCTCGGTTTGCTTCTTCTGTTTTAATTGGACCACTAGGAATGCTTTGCCTGAGGAGAGTTTTCAAAATCCTGGAGCAGAAACACTCCATGGTGGCCAGTGAGCACTTTTCATGGGTGGCAAAAACTGCACAGCATTCCCCCACAGAGGTCACTTTAAGTTGCACATGCCTGTTCATCTCTTTTGCATCTCACTGTGTGGAGAAACCACCTTGCCTTTTGCCACTAAAATGTGGTGATTCAAAGAGAGTGCTCTTCACCTGGTTGCATGCCACTACCAACAAACAGCTTGGTTCATAGAGGCAACTGCCACAGAAAAGCCATAAAATACGGCCTCAATCAAGACTCAACAGCTGGAGTTTAAAGTGTAAATACTTTGACATGTGGTCTAACATCAGTCCCAGCATTGCCCTTTCCCTTCTCTCCTTCTGTCTTTTTATTTTTCAATATTCTGTGTGAGGAAGAGACTTTTGCGACTCAAAAGCTTGCAGATACCATTGTGAATATCTGCTTTCTTGATAAAAGATATTTCTTTTGCGGTCCTTGTGATTTTTGAGGAGAAGACCATGTATAATCAGGCAGCTTCCTTTTTTTAATTGCAAACCTGTAAAACAGAAATGATTTTACACATCCTTCCGATGCTTATAAATAGCTGCTCTTTGGAAACAGCAGCGGAGGCTTGCAGACTGCTGTGGCGTCTCGGCAATGGGTTTTAAGAATCATAAACTATGCAGGACTCAGGGAGGAAAGTTTGATATCACACTGGCATCATTGGGTCTGCTGTGTGCCCCACTTAGGGGACACATTTCCACCAAGACCACCGAAGTGTGCCTCTACCACAGAGGGCATGACAGGACCTCCCTTGCTTTTTCCTGAGCATCGCTGATTGCACAAATCCATTCTGTTTCTCCTAGCAAGCCCCTCGCGCCATAGCATATCGGAGTGGAGAATGCAGAGCATTGCAAGAGATTCAGACGAGAGCTCCGACGACGAATTCTTTGATGCACACGGTAGGTGGGGCATAGAAAGAGCAGCTGCTAAGCTGTGTTAACGGGTGTGTGAGTGCCATGGTGTATATGTGCAGCCATTTGCATGAGAGAGAAGCTGTCCTTTCTCTGATTAAGCTGTGTCACTTCAGCATCGCTCCAGATGGAAGGCCTGGACTTTCCTCACTCCACCCTTTCTATGTTATTGTGGACACTTTTCAGGTTCGTCCAGATGCATCTTTTGAGTTTAGACGTGCATTTGTTTACTAGCTGAAGTGACCCATTCATCCGCACCCACCCTCCCCACCCCTGGTGGTAAAAATATAGCAAAATGTTTTTTTACTCATTAACAATTTGCTGCCCGTTAATGGTGCCCCAAAGTCTGTTCCCTGAAGTGAGTTAATCTACCATACCTAGCGATTTACCGTAGCTATGATGTGCTTGTAGCCTATGAAACACTATGTTTCCCTGGGAGTGATAGTGTGGGGAAGGGAGGAAGGAGGGTATGCAGCAAGACAGACAGACAGACAGAAAAGGTGTGGCTGTAATAAACAGCTTGTCTGCTTCAGTGTAACTTGATGTCGTCTTGTTGTTGTTGGCTTAGATAGATGACAAGAAATATTATTTTTTAGAGATAGTGTTGTCCGGTATAGTCATTAGACTATTTGGAGCAGGAAGGCATGGATTCAGATCTCCTCAGTTAGGTGGCCTTGGATCAATTGCTGCCTCTCCTCCTTAGCATCACTTTGCCTGAAACAGTGGCTGCTGTACAATAATAGTTAAAAACTGTAAGACCCTGCCAGGAAGCTTGCAGTCTGAAAGTGTCAGCCTAAGCACGCCTCTTAGAATTGTTCTAAGGATAAAAAAGATAACCCCATAGATTCCTACTGAAGCTCTTTGGAACCATAAGGGCTGGATCTAGACACATCAAAGAAGCGTTTCAGTAAAATGTGTTGTAAATTTAAACAGGGAAAACAGATACTGTGTAGAGAAAAATGGGGCTCCTCATCGCCATCTGATGGCACAATGTTGTATTGCACATACAACACATATAAATCACAATCAAGAGTCCAAGGTATAAGTGTAAAAGTGTAAACCAAATGCAGTTCAATAAGTTGGGTTGTTATATAGCTTTCATATTTTGTTGATTCATATTGACTGAAGGGTTGTTGTTGTTTTACATTCTTTACCTGCTTTTGGATGAAGGTTGTCTCCTTAACACATGTTTTCCCCAAGGGTACTTCCAAACCAGCCCCACTGCCACAAGGTGCAATGATGGCAACCAGCTTAGCTGGTTTAATAATGGAAATACAGTAGATTGTTTCTGGTAAATCAGTTGCTCATTTGGATGCTCCATCTGAGAGAGGCTCAGAGGATGGTGGCAAGGGAGAGAGCCTTTCAGTTGCGGCTCCCCACCTGTGGAATGCTCTTCCTGTTGAGGTCTGCCTAGCATCCTCCTTGTCATCTTTTCAACACCAGATAAAGACACATATTTTTTCCAGGTTTTTGATAAACTAAGATGCTGATACTTGCATGCTACCAAAGTTTCTTGTAGCTGTTATGGAGGATGTTGTTGTTCTGTTTTTATGCTATAAATGTATTTATATTTAAGTTTTTAATGTGTTGTAAGTCACTTGGAGACCTTCAGGTAACAAGCAACTAAAAGGTCTTATTATTGTTACTGTTCTTCTTGTTGTTGTTGTTGTTGTTGCTATTATTCAGAGACAGTGTGTCACTGAATACCAGATGCTGGAGAACAACAGCAGGAGAATGCTGTTGCCTTCATGCCCTGCTTCTAGTCTTTGCAGAGGCATTTGATGGGTCCTTGGGTGCATGGCCCTTTGGTTTGAACCAATAGGACTCCTCTTGTGTTTTTCTGTTCACTGCTCTGCAAGCACTGCATTTGTCTTTGCCCTAAGATGTCCCTGGATGAAGTCCACCGCTCTTCTATACTTGAGTATTGAGAGGGATTCTTGAGAGCAGGGAAGTCTTGTTTTTGAGTTTCTACCCTTCAGAACTTCTTGATCATGATACAGCAGACACATCTCTTTAACTAGCAAAACTGAACCAACGAGAGCCTCTTCAGAGCCTCTTCGGTGAAACCACATATCATTGCTCAATAGCATTCTCATGTCGAGACAACTGATTATCCTAATGTTTTGGCCTCCCCCATCTCAACCGTTTGGATAAATGTAATTGTAATTTATATTTGCAAGGGAACATTCTATGTTCTAATTGGTCTGGAATACTTCCAGAATGTTCAGATAATCATAGGCTTAGTATAGCATTATAGTGACACAGAGTAACGTTCTTATTTCTGTTCTGTCAACCACTTTTTTCACTTGAAAATGCTTTACAGATTTTAACAACCTGATCCCATGCATGTTTACCTGGAAGTAAGCCCTGCTGAATTCAGTGGAACTCCTCAGCAATTGTGCATGGGATTTTGCTTTCTTAAAAAACATCCCAGGCACTCTTGATAGGTACATTGAAGGAAGCTTTTCAGTTCCATACTAGAGGGAGAAGTGGCATCTGTCCTCTTTGTTGCTGCTCTCAAAAGCAGAGGGGCCCTGTTCTCAATGCATGGGCCATGTTTATTCCCATTTGAGGTGATTTGAGATTGAGATGTTGGAGGATTGTGAGTGACTTGCCTGTGACTGCCCAACATTGAATTGGCTCGGACGTAAGCCTCAGTATTTCTCCAAAAGTTGTGAAATAGCTTCATCTGCTCCCTAGCTAATGTAACATAAACACTGAAAAAGGCTCTCTCCCACCCAGCCTCCCTCTCTTTAACCCAGCTACCCACTCTTCCTCCAACCCCCACTCCCTGTGGAACCCACTTCCTGGCCAATGGCAGCAACACCCCAGTCACAGGGAGAAGGAACAAGAGAGGTCTTGCTGAATATAGTTTTGTGATTTAAAATCCAAACCAGAGAAGAATTCAGGGTTCCTAATGCAGAACTCTTCTTTGAGATGAGCATTACAAGCCGTGGAAATACATGTAACATGCTGAAGGCTGTCTTGTGACTTCTCACACCCTGTATAGAATAAGGCAGTGCTCTTGAACTTTGGTTCCCCCAGTTGTTGTTGGGTTACAACAACCATCATCTCCATCCAGCTTAGCCAATTGTCAGGGATGATGAAAATTGTAGTCCAACAACATCAGGGGACCCAAGGTTGAAGAACAATGGGATATGGATTTGAACATGGTTCCTGCATTCTGCAACATGTCATTGACATAATAATAGTGCATTAAAAAAAGGTAAAGGACCCCTGACAGTTAAGTCCAGTCACGAACGACTCTGGGGTTACGGCGCTCATCTCGCTTTACCGGCCGAGGAAGCCAATGTTTGTCTGCATACAGTTTTTCCGGGTGATGTGGCCAGCATGACTAAGCCACTTCTGGCAAAACCAGAGCAGTGCACGGAAATGCCGTTTACCTTCCTGCCAGAGCAGTACCTATTTATCTATTTGCACTTTGACGTGCTTTCGAATTGCTAGGTTGGCAGGAGCTGGGACTGAGCAACAGGAGCTCACCCCGTCATGGGGATTCGAATCGCCGACCTTCCGATCAGCAAGCGCTAGCCTCAGTGGTTTAGACCACAGCACCACCCGCTTCCCTAATAGTGCATTAGTGGTAGATTTATACTAGACTGTCTACACATCATTCTGCTTTATTAGTTATTCTGCAAAGTTTCCTTAATTTTATTGCATTATTACTTTTTGGAGGGACACTCTTGCACTATGTGTGGTGTGGGGATGGGATGGGACTGGAACACCTGGGGTATGAAAAGTTACAGGATTCCAGTAGGAAGGCATACACTTAGTGCAAACCAAACAGTAAGTCCACCCCAAACCTTTTGCAGGTGCAAACAGTATTGAAAGTGAGATTATGCATAACTGTCTCAATACCTTCACGATCACAAATGATCATGAAAGCACAATAAGAAGGATGTATCAAGGGGCCCCAAGTGGATGTAGATTAACATGGGCTTGAGGGGAGGGGTGCATTTAAAACCACCTTTCCTCCCTTAAGTGTAGGCTGTCACAGCAATGACAGGTATAGGAGCCTGATAGTTTATATTTCCTGCACATTCCCCTATGCAGATTATAATAGCCATTGTATTTAATAAAGTGATTCTAATTTTAAACCCACACCTTTGTGCCTTATCTAATTATTTCTAGTCTCCTAATGCAACCTTACAAGATCATGTACTCCATACCCATGAATCCAGCATTATTATAGACCCTGCAACTCCCTCTCTGTGTATGGCACTTCCAGGCTGTCACAGTTATGCAGATGGAATTCACTCATGTGACAGGAAATTCAGGATGTGCAATTAAAGCTTATTTGGTGCTCTTGTGCTACAAACCCTCTCCTTGTTAAAACAACAACATCAACCCAACACAGACTTTTTGCAATAAGGAAAGTGATGGGAAAATGCACTGGGAATTGTAGAATAACATTTGCTTGAGGCAATGTAGTCTTACCTCCCTGCAAACAAATCAAACGAATGCTCAATAAGTAGCCAGTGTTGTCACTTCAGGATGAATGCTCAATAAACAGGTCTCCTGGAAGTGATCCACAAGGGGCTTCAATTGACCAAGCCTCTGAAGTTGTTTCTGGGGAATATAATAGGTCCCCAAAAAGACCCTAGAGGAGCCAGGCATAACTGCCCTATAAGGCATCTTAATGTAGATGTCTGTTTCTGAAGCTGAGTAAAGATGGGAGGGGGTAGCCCCTTTACACTAGGAGGTCACATGCAAAATCCATTGTATACTGTTTCCATGAGCTTCTTGAAAGAAAGTGGGCACGTAACAAATAATATCCTAGCCATATTCTAGCTGTTTTTATTAGAGGCATGAGGATTGCATTATCTTCTCACAAAAGGATCTTGATCATATATATATATATATATATATATATATATATATATATTGCAAGACTTCTCACATGTTCTCAGTTGCTGGCAAAGTATGACAAACCGAATTATTAACACTGAATAACTGTTCCATAAAAATGCAAATAATGGGAGCAAGAAGCCATTCAGTGATCATGGTAAGCAGCAGTGAGAGAGCTGTAATTAAGCCTTCTAAGCAACTGGGTTCAATATTTAGATAAAGTAGCAGGGACAAGCCTGGAATGTAAATTCACTCCTCTTCGCTCTTTACGGTTTTGACAATGCATACTCCCTGCACCCTGTGCATGACATTCAACAGATGCACGAGCTTTGTTGGATTAATTGGTGCAATACTTTCATTAATTGCAGATTAGAAATATGCACGTTGTTAATCATAGCCGTGAGAAGGGTGATTGACACCAGTGTACTGATGTAGGCAAGCTTTATCATCTTTTCATTGAACCCTGTTCTGACTATTTAATGATTTATCTTTGGCATTATCCCAGAGAAAGAGTTATTTTCCCCAGTGCAAAGACTTCAGCAGTTGCTTGCATTTGTAATCTTTATTTTAGCTGGTTAATTAATTAGTAAACAGGAAGAGAGTTCAATTGTCTAGCTTCTCTTTCAGAAGTCAATAGCCCTGTTGGAGGTGCAATCCATTTATCTATTCTCCATGTGCACAGTTGCTATCAGGTGTATTATAAGGACAACAGGAACATAGGGATCTGCCTTAAATTAAGTCAGACTATTGGTTTATCTAGCTCGGTGTTGTCTAAAACCTTCTTCCCCAACCTGATGCTCTTCAGATATTGTTGGACTGCAACTCCCATCCTCCTTGATTATTGGCTGTGCTGGTTGGGGCTGATGGAGCCAATTGGAGCCAAATCAGTTTTCATCAGAATCTGAAGCTCCATGTGCAAAGCTACTGGCTGTGCTCAGGAGCAGGGCTACCTGTGTTCCAAGGCTTGAAAGGCCACCTGTCACTTCAACCTCTCATTCCCTCCTCCAAACCTGTTCCAGAAAGGCACAGTACCCTCGGTAAACTGGTAGGTAGGAGAGTCCCCGTAGAGACCAATGCTTTATTTTAAATGCCCCATGCCACTCCCCATCTCGCCACCATTTGCCCCCTCACACCTCTGCCTGTCGCTGTTGTGATTTCAGGTTCATCCATACTTGTCTTGCTGCTTTCCCCTAGAAAAACCTGCTCATTACTGCTGAATTGGGGCAGGTTTTCTCTCTCTTTTTCTTTTCAATTTTTAATTTTAAAATGCAGTAAAATGGCTACATACAAATTCAATAAAACAGAAAATACAGCACAAAGCAATACATAGTGTAACAATAGCAGTTCCAAAGCAGCTCAAAAAACCACTCCCAACATTGACCATAGTTAAGATTCTGCTCTGTCAATACATGGTTTAAAGCGATTGCCCTTAAATTCTCTGTTAACGCCTGTTTGTGTTTGAAACTGATAAGGCTTTTCTCTGTGATTTATTTTTCAAAGCCTCTGGTTTCCCTGCCTTATGAACTGCTGTGGATTTTCTTAGCACCAGCTCTCCATGTCTGCCCTTCTAGCCTCCAGCTGTTAAGAGCTGGCACGGTGTTAACAAAGACCACATGACACCATATTCTGTGTCTGTATTTATGAACCTAATTGTTCTCTTCTCTCTCTTTAAAGAGGACTTGTCTGAGAATGAAGAGGTGTTCCCAAAAGAAATTACCAAATGGAGTTCAAATGATCTCATGGATAAGATCGAAACCCCAGAATCTGAAGAAGTACCAGGTAATTTTTGTGTGTGGAATGGGATGCAGCTGAGAGTATTGTGCAGTTATTCCACTGAATGGCTGTACTCTTAGGTGAATAATAGAAGATGGGTCCTTTAATAATAATAATAATAATTTTATTATTTGTATCCCACCCATCTGACTGGGTTGCTCCTGTCACTCTGGGCGGCTTCCAACGTATACAAAAACATTTCTCTAATTAAAACATGTTAGCTTAGCCATCTTAGCCAAGTCCAGTTATTTTCCAGCCATTCCTCTATAGTGAATGAGGCTGTTACCTTCCCAGAGTTTTTCGGGTGGTGGTGATGGTGGAGGGGGACAGGTAGAAAACCAGAGTAAGCCTGCAGTGCAGTTGTGCACTGTTGGGGCCTGTCCATGCTTCCATTTGTCCTGCATTTACTTAGAATTTACACTGAAACAATAGAACTGGTCCGAAAGCTTTTCATTTATATCCTGACACAGAAACGCAACATGCCCCCCGCTTTTTACCATTGTATCAGAACAAACGAAAGGCTACTTAAAACCCAAATAGAAATTAATTCCCCTTCTTTTTTCTTTTTCTTTTTTACTCCTGCACAGAGAAACACACACTTTTCCTTGTGTCTATCCTTTATTGGTTGTCAGGTCCACCTCTCAGGAAGTGATAGTGGAACTCTTAGCTGATAAACATCTACAAATTATACATCTGGTAGCCAAATTTGCTCTGGCAGCTAGGAAGCTTCGTTCCAGTTCTGATAATGCAGTGTAATTTTAAATTTTTATGCTGTAAACTTTTGTGCTATAGACTTTTATGCTGTAGATTTTTATAGACATTTGATGTGTGATTTGCCATCTTGTTTATTGTGAAGGTCTTTGGGTATATATAAAAAAACTGAACGATAAACACTTTTCCTTGTGGCACAATGTTGTGGGTGTTCCACTTTCCCCTCCACACCTTCTGTCTCCACCCACACCTTGAGTACAGTTTGCCAGTTTTTTCTAGAGCCTGTTGCTGTGCACTTCTGGTTCCCCGCCCCATGCTATTTTTTCTTAGGTGTCCCCTTTCTGTGCTCATACCGGCATTGTGATCAGCAAGCATTGTGAATGTTGGGGGAATGTGCATCATCCAAATTAACCCCCTTCCTTCACTGCAGGGGCAGTCAGTGGTGCCTTGTGCTACTGCCACCTCGAATGTTCTACATTATGGGCTGTATGGGTGGTCTTTCTTTAATGGCAATTAAAGTACAGTCTTGGGACGCGGGTGGCGCTGTGGGTTAAACCACAGAGCCTAGGGCTTGCTGATCAGAAGGTCGGCGGTTCGAATCCCCACGATGGGGTGAGCTCCCGTTGCTCGGTCCCTGCTCCTGCCAACCTAGCAGTTCGAAAGCACATCAAAGTGCAAGTAGATAAATAGGTACTGCTCCAGTGGAAAGGTAAACAGTGTTTCCATGCGCTGCTCTGATTCACCAGAAGCAGCTTAGTCATAACCTGGAAGCTGTACACTGGCTCCCACAGCCAGTAAGTGAGATGAGCGCTGCAACCCCAGAGTCGTCCGCGACTGGACCTAATGTCAGGGGTCCCTTTACCTTTAAAGTACAGTTTATTTTTCACTTGTTGCACACCCCTTTGGGGGTTCCAGAAAACATATTGTGTGCGAGTGCACAGGAACACAATGGACTGAAAAAAGCAACAGAAAAGGAGGGCATGTGCAGCTGCACTGAGCACAAGGGGACAGAGAAAGGGATGGGGAAGAAGGAAGAAAAGTGGACCATTGCAATTGACAGGATAGTGCTCATTTTCATGGATGCCTCCTTGAAAAGTGTGGAGTGAGGCGTTTGCTAATCTGCAATGCAACAAGTTGAAAAAAATGGGATAAATTTGGATAGTCACTTAATAAGCCCTGCCCCCAACCTGTCTTCTCAATCTAGGTAACAATGGAAGATCCTTCACAAGAAAAAGCTTTAAAAACTTTTGAAATTCACATCTCCTCCTGTTACATCTGTTCATAGGTTTGGCCATTTTGTGATCTTGTTCTATGCAGATTTTCCCAAATGGAGAGTTGGGAGCGATCCCCACCATGTCTCTCTCCCCTTTTCCCATATCAGCAAACATAGTGGCAGAATAGTGGCAGATACCCCTTCACATACTAAACCTTGGGAAGTATTAGAATGTCTCATGGTCTGTGGAGGAAAGAACTCAAACTCATATGACCATACATCTTTCCTTCCAGACGATCCATGTCTTGAATCAGCAGCAGAGTACCATGTTGGATCCAGTGTGGAAAGGCTAAGCATCATTGAGGTACAGTATCTAAATAAATTCCCTTTTCCGGCTTATATTTTTTAGAGGTGCAGCTTTTATGTGTGTTCTATATCCATGTTTGTCCCTCTAAGCAGAAACACTCCATACCTACAGCTGTGATCTGGCAACAAAATATGGAATCTACCTGAAGCCTGTAGCCAGATATGACTCTTGAATTGATCTAACCACAGTGCAATTCACACTTTTGCCTGGTTTCCCCTGCAAGGAAAAGAAACATTCCTTACCCTTTTTTGTATCATATATCACTTGCCGTCTGCCTCTTGGTGGTGGTAGGGATCTATTGTTGTTGTTGTTGTTTAGTCGTTTAGTCGTGTCCGACTCTTCGTGACCCCATGGACCAGAGCACGCCAGGCACCTCTGTCCTCCACTACTTCCCGCAGTTTGGTCAGACTCATGCTGGTAACCTCGAAAACACTATCCAACCATCTCGTCCTCTCTTGCCCCCTTCTCCTTGTGCCCTCCATCTTTCCCAGCATCAGTGTCTTCTCCAGGGAGTCTTCTCTTCTCATGAGGTGGCCAAAGTACTGGAGCCTCAGCTTCACGATCTGTCCTTCCAGTGAGAATGGATGCGTTTGCTCTTCTTGCAGTCCATGGGACTCTCAAGAGTCTTCTCCAGCACCATAATTCAAAAGCATCAATTCTTCGGCGATCATGGATGATCCCTTCAGTGATCCCTTCATGGATCACTGCCTTGCTGTGGCGAAGGGGCTTGAAGAACTCAGAGAAGCTATGAACTACGCCGAGCAGGGCACACAAGATGAACAGGTCATAGTGGAGAGTTTCGACCAAACGTGATCCACCTGGAGGAGGAACCGGCAAGCCACTCCAGTATCCTTGCCAAGAAAACTCCATGGACAAAGACAACAGGGATCTATTAGGGAACACATTAAACCCTCACTCCTGCCCCCCCCCCCGCACACATATATATTGCTGCATTACCATGGGGACGTGCTCCACATTCTTGAAGCTGCTGGTTCATGCCAATTTTATTACAGAACTTTACAACATTATACATAGGATATAAATTGTTCCTGCCCTCAGAGTAGTAGCCACTGAGTACTGTGATCTCTGAGAATTTCAGACACTGGCCACCCCTGCTTTGATGGAAAAGCACCAGAAACTGATAGTGGGCGTATGCACACTATGGTTTACTCCGCATGCTGTGCATGCCCACCGCAGGTCTGGGAAGTGGTGTGCGTACGGCGTTATCCATAATCTGTATCTATCCTGTTGTTAGGAAATACTGCATTTTGATGCATTTCCCCCTTAAACCAGCTCCTGTCTAAATTGCTGGGAAAGAGAATGACCTAGCTGCTCTTTCAGCCAGCAGTGTGTACACAGCCAGTATCTTCATTGAAAACCTATTTCTTTACCCTGGGCAAGTTTAGAAGGAATTCTAGGGATCCACCAGCAATGAGAGGTAGTGCTGGATCCTGGGTGGATTCAGTGAAAACCCCCAAATCCGGCAAGCTCAGAGGACAATGGGCTGCTTTCTTTTTCTGTCAGGGTTGTCCTGCAGGCTCCGCTTTGACAATGGGTTTTTGAAGTAAACCTCAGTGGAGAGAAGCTGTTGCCTCCTCTGTTCTTAAGGCCATTGACTTCCTAGGGGATGAAAACATACCAGCCTGATAACCTAATTTTTAAAATTTAAACTTTATTGAATTTCATAATTAACTTGCAATGCCATTGCCCTTTTCATCTTCCCTCCTGGCAATAACATTGTGTTGCATGAGAACGTCAGCTTTTATGGTGCGCTGATGCTTAATTATAAAGGAGAGTAAACGTGCAGAATCACAGTGTACAATTAAGGCAGAGGGATACATCAAACAGAACATAAAAGCAATCAGGAATTGAAAGAGGTCCAGGAAATTCATGTTTTGTGTAACTGTTCCAGCTTATCCCTTTGTTTATATATCATCATCTCACATACTGCAAGTGCAGCCATTTAGAGTGTCCAAACATCTACTGTTGGTGCTGCTGGATTCTTCCAGTAATAACAGGGGCTTTGACTATTTCAACTACCCTGCTTATCTATAATATTGTACAGTCTAAAAGTTTCTGGTCAATTGATAATTAATTGTTCTGCAGCAGGAGAGCCAGTGTGCTGTAGTGGTTAAGAGCGGTAGACTCGTAATCTGGTGAACCGGGTTCACGTCTCCACTCCTCCACATGCAGCTGCTGGGTGACCTTGGGCTAGTCACAAGTCTCTCAGCCTCACTCACCTCACAGGGTGTTTGTTGTGGGGGAGGAAGGGAAAGGAGAATGTTAGCCGCTTTGAGACTCCTTCGGGTAGTGATAAAGCGGGATATCAAATCCAAACTCTTCTTCTTCTTCTTCTTCTTCTTCTTCTTCTTCTTCTTCAGGAAGCACTTAAGAGAAGAAGAAGAAGTGTTTATTAGGTTTTCAATACAACAGCGTGCAGACAAGGCTAACAATAAAGAAACAATGAATAATGATTGTGTGGGGCACAGTATTGCAGTTATTATGCAGACATCATAATAAAATAGATTCCACAAAGGGACATTTGGGAAGCAAGAGTCACAGGGTAACAAGGTAGCCTCACCATATAGAGGCGTATGTCCCTGGGGGCCTAAGTAATGCTCTGTTTTTATTTATGAAGCATATTAAAAAATGGAAGTGCCTTTGATCCTCAAAACCATATCTGCCTCTATAAACCAGTCTTGTGTTTCTTGTTTTCTCTTTCAGGATGAGGTTGTGCCTCCACTAGTGCAGCCAAGCAAGATCCATGTCCTGCTCTTGGTGCTGCATGGAGGCAACATTTTGGATACAGGAAGTGGTGACCAGAGCTCTAAGCAAGGGGACGTCAACACCATAGCCACCGCCTTTGACACTGTCATTAGGGTCCATTACCCAGCGGCCCTTGGGCGCATAGCCATCAGATTGGTCCCTTGCCCAGCCATCTGCTCTGAAGCATTTTCACTTGTCTCTAAGTGAGTTACTGCTTAGTTTTCTTAAAGGGGCTGGGGAAGAGGAAGAGGGAGGGAGGACAAGGATGGATCTATGCTGCACATTTATACCAATCTCAGTAGTTATTCCTTCCTCCCAGGATATCCTGCTGAGAACCATGAATATGTGAGTTGGGCTAGACATCTCAAACAGAATTTGCAGCATCTCACCTAGAATCACTAGAGGAAACCATGACTATTAAGCTTTAGAAAACTCGTCTTTTTTTGTTGTGTAGATGTACCCTTAGCTGCATCTGTGATTTGGCAGAGAGGCTTCCTCATTCTGTGTCTGACTGTTCTGTCTCTTCCAGACAGACCCTTTTTTACACTGCAGCTGCAGAGGCCCCCTTTGGACCAATTACGCTGCAATTCACATGGCACAGTTCCATAGGGGACATGAGAAATCTGTGAATCAATCAAGTTAGTCTAGACAGAGTCAACTGCTTGCTTCTTAGAAAGAGGAAATGTTGACAGCTTGTGTGAAAGCACCATTGTGGTCCAGCCCTTGTCCTTCAGCCTGAGGCAGCAGCCTAGGTACCATATCTATCCAGCCTCAGCCCCAAACCTGAGGCTCCCAAGCCAGACCTAGCATCTTCATCTCCAAGGGCCTCACATGCCAAGCTGCTCAGCACTGTAAGCATCATGTCCAGTGATATCTAACGGAGAGAGGTGAGAGAGCGTCCGGTTCCAGGGCAGAGGGCTGGCCCTTTAAAGAACTCCAGCAAATAGGTGGGACATAGGAAAGGCAGTCAGCCGAGGTGTAATGGTATGGGCTTGCAGGAGGTCAACAACCCGTTACTATTTCTACATCAGGGTCCTGGTAGAGTCCCTGTCTCCATTGTCCTAGAGCCATCCAGTCAGCATCAAAAGGGAGCTTTATAGCCACTGAGAAGAACTTTTTTCTCCCTTTTTGCTGTTCGAAGCCAGAGTGAAAGAAGGTGAGTTAGCTGCTGAGGATCAGCTCATAGGGTCACTCTGGAGAGGGTATGTTTGAGAAATGCAGAGGAGTTGTCCTGTGTACTCCAAAGCTAAGCATTTAGGAACACTGAAAACACAGCATGCTTTAGTTGCAAAAGAATGGTGTGCAAGTTCTGTTACGTACGAACTTGAAGGAAAAAACAGTTTAAGTCTCTCTGGGAGAAGATATTAGAGCACTCCAAATAATTTGCTGGTGAATGTGCACAGAAAATAGTAGACCTAGTTGAAAGGTAGCACAATCCAAATTATTGTTATTGTTGCATAATCTTAGAAGGTTGTATAATCTTAGAAGGGGCATAGCTGTGACTGTCATGAAGGGACCATGCATTTTTTAAATTTGCCACTTTCACTACTAACAGTCAGGTACCATATAAGCCAGGGATGGAGAATCTCCTCTGATGCCAACACCCCACTTGCCCCATAAGCTTGGCCCATTGTCAGGAATGACCTGGAGGACCACAAATACGCCACCACTAAAGGTCAGCTTGCTTCCAGGACTTGTTGAAACAAGTTGCCTCTTCTCTAGGACCTGTCCAGGGTCCTGAAGGGCCTTTTTCTGACCATTCTTGCTCCCTGATTCTGGTTGCTGGCCTTTTGGGTTGATACATAGCCTCTGCCTCTCAACCCCTGCTCTTGCTATTTGCTCTAGATCTCTGCCAGACCTTTGTCCATGCTCCAGTACAAACTCATACTCACCTAGACTTACTCTTTACCTCTTTGTCTTCCTGTCACCTATGGTCTAATGGATGCCATGTGAGTTGTAGGCATATTGGAAAATTTCAACAAAAACAGAAATTGCCCTTGTTCACTTATTTGTCCCATGACCAGAATGGAAATCAGTAAGTTGTTGCTTTCAGTTTGCAAATGATACATAATTGAGTATATAATTCCTCCCCCACTTTGTATTGAAATTAATGGGATGGAATAACATAATGACAAGCAAGATGAATAATGTAGTATTTGACCGCAGCAGAATGGAAACAGTGCTGATTGCAGTGAAGACAGGACAGAACTGAAGATGATGCCTTCTTATGTCCCTGGCTGGCTGTATTTCAAAAATCATATGCAGCTCTTTTTAAAATGACTTTTCTGTCTCCTGCTGAAGTCAACAGCGGGAGTATGGCTGAAATATTGGTATGTCCCTGCCAGTGGGTTTTATTACATGGTGATTGAGTAATAGCCTTGGGAGGCATGCAGAGCTATTTCACTCACCTCCTGAGCCATCCCCTTGGTCCTCTCCATCAGCAGCCAGCCTGAAATATCAGTATTACACAAGCGGAACTGTAGCAAAACCAAAACCAAGCATTCTCATAAGTCAGTGTGTTTTGTATTGCTGTCTTGTTGGGCTGTGTATGTTATAAAGGGGAGCCATACTAGGGTGAAGGCATCCACTTCTATTTGTCCCCGTGTCAGTTTCAGTCTATTGGTTAGCTTTTCTATGGTTGTTTCCCAAACAATTTGCTACCACTGGACCATGTTCACTCCTGACAGGTCTCTCGAGTGTCTGGCTATGAGGCTTCTGGCTGCTGAGAGTAGGTGGGATATAAGTTCTTTATAATGTGAGTGGTCATTAACAAAGAAAATCTTTAATAAAATTATTTTATATATGTGTGTGTGTGTCAGTGTGTTTAGGAACACAGCCTGTGCAGGCCCATTTTCTCAATTCATAATGCCAACAAGGTCCATTCTCCTGGCGTCAAGAGCTCACACTATTAATTATCTGCTAAGCTATCCATTCTTGATCTCATGCATGACTGTAATGAATGTAATGACATTGTACTTGGAGAGCCGCAATTGATTTGTTCAAACTAATCAGGTGAAGGTTTAAATGTGGATTTGTAGAGTTGTGTGGCAAACAAGAGACCCTTGGATAATAGCTCTCACTCTGTGACTTCAGGTATGAGAGGGGGGGAGTCATTCTTGAGCCCTGGAAGATTTCCCTTAGCTGATGAAATTGTAGTTTGATGGAGGGATTGATTTTTAACCTCCTACTGGCTGTGATTGGAGAGAGAGGGAGGGGGAGAGAGGTCTCTTGCAATCTTGAATCATGCAGGGGTTAGTTGTCATGAGGTTCATCTGCACAGCAAGTTAAATTATTTCTGATTTGGTTCACTGCTTTAAAGATAATTCGTCTCATCGTCTGCTTCTTAACAACATTTCAGTATTATAAGCTCAAAGTGTGCCCTTCTATAAGGATGTTTTCCAGGGATGGCACATAATTCCCTCCCTATTGAGACCTCATTTCTGTCATTTAATGGGCCAGGCAAAAGCATTTCTGTTTCCCAGGCATTTGGGGTTTCTTTAACTTAGAGCAGTTTGCTTTTACACCCTTTTTGAAAGGGCTGTTACTAAAGGTAAAAAAGGTAAAGGGCCCCTGGACGGTTAAGTCCAGTCAAAGGTGACTATAGGGTTGCAGTGCTCATCTCGCTGTCAGGCCGAGGGAGCCGGCGTTTGTCCACAGACAGCTTTCTTGGTCATGTGGCCGGCAGAACTAAACCGCTTCTGGCACACGGAGGACCGTGACGAGTGCCAGAGTGCACGGAAATGCCGTTTACCTTCCTACTGCAGTGGTACCTATTTATCTACTTGCACTGGCATGCTTTTGAACTGCTAGGTTGGCAGGAGATGGGACAGAGCAACAGGAGCTCACCCCGTCGTGGGGATTCAAACCACTGACCTTCCGATCAGCAAGCCCAAGAGGCTCAGTGGTTTAGTGGTTTAGTGTGTACACTTTATTTTCAATTTCTACTTTTTAAATTTCATACTGTTCTGCTGGCTGCCCTGAGAATATACATTCAACATGGGTTCAACATGCAGCATACAAATTATTTAAGCAAGTCCAAAGAGCTGGCTTCTCAATCACAGCTCTGGCTTCACTCATTGGCTAAAACCGTTGACACACAGGAGCAGTCAGCTGGATCAAGTCACAGAAATTTCCCTTCATAGCTTCCTTTTTAGGAAGGCTTTTCCCCCCATGAAATCTCTAGGGTCTCTAGTCTAGGGTCTCTGCCTGCAGGCACCAATGAAGCCTTTCTGGGTGCAGCATTAGAACCCCTGGCTTAGGTCACCTGAAGCCTTAGAAAGCTGGCAGGGCTTGAGCCTTCAATGGCCCTGCCCTCTGGGAGAGCTCTTTAAAGGAATTTCGTGTTCCCTGCATGCTTGTGAAATAAACGAGGCTGCAGGGAATGGTCCTCAGACTCTGAGGGTGGTGGAAGAGCCTCATCCCTCAGGCAGGGGCAGTGCAGAGCAGGATGTTGAGGGCTCCCCCTTGAGTGGGGCAAGTGGTGCATCCTGTGAATCAGAGTCCGCTTTTGGGCCAACACTGGGATCCTGAAGCAGAGGGTAAAGCAAGTCTCAAATATCTTGTTCATCTGGATAGCATCTCTGCTAAAAGCAGCTTGAAATAAATGGGTTTTCAAAATGAATTTTGATTGTTGTCTGTAACATTACAAACAGCACACACACACACACACACACACACACACACACACACACCACCCAGGGCAATTGGGGGGAAAGTTATAAGTTGGATGTATATGTGCATAAATGTGCCCTTGAAATTGTTTTCTAAATCAACTTACAGAGCCTGCCTTACATATGAGAGGAGGAGCAAGACTAAGGGATGACTCACTCACATTTGCTTCTTGCTCTTATGTCAGGGAGCTCTGGGCAGTGTACAGATGTTTGTTTTTAAATTGTGAGGTACATTTCACAGAGAAAATAAACAGTGTGAGTGGCCTCAGCTCAACCAGCAAGCTTTGCAGCTGAGTGAGGAATTTGAACCCAGGTCTAGCATTCTATGCCCTAAACCACATTGATTCTTTTGGTGTGGAATATGAAGAAGCAAAAAAGTACATGGTGCTTTGTAGCAAATAGGAATGTGCAGAGAAGATGGTAAATTTGTGTTTTCTCTCAAAAACTAAGCTAAGCATCTTCTTCCAGTGCGTATGCATGTGACTGGTGGAGAGTGGAAGTAAGGGAACTACCGTTAAATGTTTTTAGTTGTCCTTGCTTTCTAAATGCTTTAGAGATGTTTTTGTTTTATTTTTAATTATATTGTTCTGCTACTTTGCCACCCTGGGCTCCTTTAAGAGAACGAGCAGAACAGAAAATGTATTTATTTATTTATGAATCCCTTCCCATGAGGCCTCCTAAAACAATGGCATAAAACCATATATAGAACAATTGCATATATAAAAATAATTTAAAACAACAACAGGTGTATATAATCCATTCAAATACAGATACCAGGTGGGATAAAATCTCCACGTTGGAGGTTTGTTGAAAGAGGAATATCTTCAACAGGCAAAGGACAATAGAGAAGGCAGTGCCAAAAGGCAGGTATTGCTTCTACACTAAAAGTCTGATTACTACTCACATGTAGCTGCCTTCAGATTTTGCTGAGTGATTTTATAGTACTGAACCTTTCGGAATTTTGTCTATATGCTAATGAAGGTTTGAGATTGAAATTTGTAGCTGCCCTCCTGCTAGGATGGTGGATAGAGGATTCCCCCTTCTGCATATTTTGGTGATCAGTTGGGTACGTAGCATGTGAGACAATATATTATAATAACAATAGCAATAATAATAATACTATGCAATCCCATTGCTGTGCATCTCCACAAGTTCCCATATATTATGATTATGAATTAAACATATTAGTCACTTTTCTTTTTACCAAAGTAGCTCAAAGCAGCAATATTAGCAGCCAGCATGGCTGTGGCTGACCCATGCAACATAGATTTGGTGTCTGTTCCAGAGGTTTCACTGCTCCATAATGCCCACAGAAAGGAAAAGTCCTTAACTATCTCTCTTCTTTTTTAGCCTCAGTCCTTACAGTTACGATGAAGGCTGCCTTTCCAATAGCCAGGATCACATTCCACTCGCAGCACTTCCTCTGCTGGCCACATCGTCCCCACAGTACCAGGAGGCAGTTGCCACGGTGATCCTGAGAGCCAATCAGGTCTACAGCGAGTTCCTCAAATCCCAGGAAGGAGCCTCATTCAGCGGCCAGGTTAGCATGCTGCCTTGGTTGGTGGCAGTGAACTGGAGAGCAAGCAGAAAGCTTTTCTGTATTTTGTTTTTTGGTGTGGAAGTTTATAAAACAAAACGTCCCAATTAACACAGGAGAATTAAATAAAAATAAAATTCTATATTAAGTCTATCACTTGATTAAATAATTCTTAGCTGATTACGCAATGAATTTTAATAGATTAATCAAGTTGAATACATCTGCATATTTTGGGGTGTAAGTAAAGCAGTAGCTCTAGAGAAAAGGAGGGAAATCATTTGTTTTTCCAACGTTAAATCAACAGGCAATATCTCCAAAGAGGCCCTTCGTCTTAAATCACGGGTGGGGAACCATTTTTAACCCCAGGGGTGCATTTTCTTCTGAGAGCCCCAGGCTCCAAATGCCAGTGGCCAGAGGCAAAACTTGGCAGAACAACTGAAGTTACCTTTATCTTTGTACAGCGTGCTAGTTTGTACGCATGCTCAGCACCCCTCTCAGCCTCCACACAGACAAGCAAGAGTGTGTTCCAGGGCACATTTCAGACAGGCAAAAACACTCAGGGTAGGATGCAGAGCTGTGAGAGTGATGAACTGGGGAGAGTTCTGACGGCCAGTGAGAGAGGGGCTGAAGAGCCTCGTTTGGTTCCAAGGCTTCTGATCAGTTGAAAAGAACATTTATTATTATATAGGTTTCCCCCGCCAGTCTTTTTACCTTTCCTTTACCACAGGTGACAGCTGTCTGTATGAATGCTGGGGAGGAGTGAGCAAAATATATGGATCTGTGTGATTTGTGCTGCAGTGTTGTGTAAATTGAATAAGTTCTACACCAGCCTTCCCCAGACTGGTGCCCTCTGAGCTACAGCTGTGTACATGTTACCATTTACTCCAGCTACAATGTGTTCCCACCACTGGTGTTTAAAGCTGAGTACACATGGTGTTAGCCACAGTTCATATATGTATATCCTGTATTTGACACTTTTTCTTTCAAACCAGCTTGCATCCATTTGGAAGAAGCAAGCCATGGTTAAGTTGAAGTGCATACAGTTCAGACAGCTGTTGCACATGTGCAGCTGCCAGCTGCCTTGAATAGGAGAGTTGAAGGGAGTTGAAGGCGTGGGGAAACAAATGAGGTAATGCATGTTGGGTGACGACACCCCACCCTCTCCCTGGTGTGTACAGCAAGTGCAAATGAAATTTGAAACTCACTGGTAGAGAGGGACGGATTGACGACCTTGCTTCGTTTTAAGCTGCTAACATATGCATAGCCCAGAGGTCCCAACTGTCCCAGCTGGCAGGGAGGTCACTGGGAAACTTCTAAATCCTGGAATTTGAACAATGAATTTTCCTTGAAAAAGAGCAATGAATGGGTTTTTGTTTTCCCTTGCCCAGGTGTGTTTGGTTGGGGACTGCGTAGGAGGGATCCTGGCCTTTGACGCTCTGTGCTACAGCAACCAAACCATGTCAGAGAGTCAGAACAGTAGCCGGCGTGGGAGCGTTGTAAGTGTGCAGGTAAAGGCATACACCCACCCACAGTGCTCCATTCTGGGGCGGCAAGGAAGTTCACTGTTCACCGCAGAAGAATACTGAGCATTAATTTATATGGTGCGTCTCAAGGGTGCTCTGCCTGTGTTGTCTCAATAATCCCATCAGCCTCCCTCCATTCCAGAAAAGAGGCAGAGACACTGCTTCATTTTTTCTTCTCCTGCAGCATCAGTCTGCTGGTCCAAGGGGCACCTGACCTACACTGGGCTTTACACCTTCAGTGTGGACGCAGTAAACCCTGTCAGTATTCTGTTGTACTTTACTACCTGTTTCACGCACAGGGCATGTTAAAAGTACAAAAACACTTCCACTGAGTGAAATGCTGGTCTGTGTCACCACCATCTCTGGCCTCAAGTACAGTCCTCTTCTGTTGCCTCACATAATTCAGTGCTCCCCTGTTCTCTCATTCATCTGAGCATCTGACGCCTTTCCTTAAATCCCTTGACTTCCTATCCATTTCCAGATCCCACACAGCCTTGTCTTTATCTTCAAAGACTTCCATTGCTTTCTCCTTGCTGTAGCTTCTTGGGCCCTTGCCTCCTGACACACTTCTGCCTGTTACGTTCACACATCCACAGCGGTGGAGCTTCATGCTCCGGCACCAGGGGCTTGTGCACGTCCTGGGGGGCGGGGCGTGCCATCTGCAGGGGCGGGCGGGGAGCAGTCATGAGGGCACCCTGGGGATCGCGCTGCCGGGGGCGGAGCGCTCCCCCCGCAGTCCTCATCCTCCGCCAGTGCACATCCATAGCCTCCATCCTCAGCCATCTGAAGGACTTCGGCTCCATTAAACAGTGTCAGCCCTTTCTCTCTTGTTGCTCATGTATCTGGAACCGCCTCCTAAATCCCTTCTGTGCTGCTGCCACCCCTCTTAAAGCCGCTCCTCCAAACACGCCTTTTCCATGAGGCCTTTGGCATAACCTCCACATCCTCAAGCTCCACTGCAGGGGTAGCCAAGGTAGTACTCTCCAAATGCTGTTGAACTACAGTTCCCAAAATCCCTGATGGGAGTTGGGAGCACAGCAACATCTGGAGGGTGCCTTGCTTGCTATCCCTGCCCCACTATAACTAAGGTTGCATACACACTGTATATTTGAAGTGCTGACCCCTCCCCCAAAGAATCCTGGGAACTGTAGTTTGTTAAGTGCTCTAGGAATTATAGTTTTGTGAATTCTTTGGGGAAATTCATGGGCTTTAAATGTATGGTGTGTTCACAGCCTAAGACTAACCATGTGTAACTGAAATAATTGCGCCATCTCATTCTTCCTTTGCCTCCCCTTCCTTCTTGTTCCTCTGTTGTTTCCCCTGTGTTGAATTTTAGATTGAAAGCTCCTTTGGGCACTATGAAGTATCATGCCCACTCTCTTAATTACATCATCATCATCATCATCATCATCATCAGCATTTACTACATTTCTTAGTTGCTTTATGCAAAAAGAAAATCTCAACAAGGTAAAATATGAATGGACAGAATCAGTTAAAATCCAGAAAAAGCAAAATGGTGTACAATACAAAATTCTTAAAATACTCATTGAACAAAACAATGAAAAGAACAGGTCCTACGCCACCTGACTGAAGGATGAACACTGTGGAGGAGGCCTAGTTAATCTCCCAGAGGCCTGGTCCCTAGAAACTGGTGGATGGTGGCACCAGGCGTATTTCCCTGGGGAGAGCATTCCACAAATGGGGTTGGGGGGACACCACTGAAAAGTCACATTCTCATATGGCAACCTTCTGCCCATCCCTTGGGTGAAACACGTGGCGAAGGGCCCGTAATGAAGCCTGCAGGGTTTCTAAGGGGAGAGAAGGATTGCGATCTGTCCTTGCACTAGAACTCAAGGACACCCAATGAACCTGAACATTGGAAAATGCGGGACAGATAAAGGACAGTACTTCTTCATGCAGCGCCTAGTTAAAACTATGGAACTCCCTGCCTCAGGAGACAGTGGTGACACCCACTTGAATGACTTTTAAAAGAGTCAGCAGGCTGTTACGTTCTTACAGTGACAGTGTATTAATGATGTTGATGATGATGATGATTACACTAAAGCTAATTACTTTGATGGCTGGGTCACTGGCCTGCAACAGTTTGAGGAGCTTGGGGGGTCAAACACTGACATCCGGCAAGCCCAGCGACAGCCCACGGGGCACGTCTTTGGGCTGAGGGTCTTCTGTGCTTGCTTTCCGGCGGAGTGTCAACGCGATTGCCCTTTGTCAGGGCTCTGACGCCTAGGCCTTGTGCCCTTCAAATTCCAGGACACTGACCTCTTGTCTCCTGGAATCATTGTGAACAACAGCTACTGCTCAGGGGGCTCCAGCCTGGAAGCCAGCCGCCACCTCAGCCGGAGCAACATTGACATCCCTCGCAGCAACGGGGAGGAGTCCAGGAAGCAGCTGCCGCGGAAGAGGAGCGACTCGTCGACTTACGAAGTGGACACCATCAAGCAGCACCAGGCCTTCCTCTCCAGGTAGGTTTGCCACGGGAGGGAAGAGTGGCTGATTGGGACTGTTGCCAATAGAATGTGCTTCATAGTATTGTTATAATTTCCATTTTCAGATTAATGGATGCTTTGTACATTCTTGTGGACATGTAAACCAGGTATAGAGGAACCTTTGGCCTTTCAGTCATTCCTGGACTTACACCTTCCATCAGCCCCAGCAAGCTTGATTCAGTGGTTCAGCAACATCTGGTGGGCCAAAGGTTCCCCACACCTGGCACATAAATGACCACCTCTTTAGGGCCAAGCTGCATGTACAGTGGTGCCTCGCAAGATGAAATTAATCCGTTCTGCGAGTCTCTTCGTCTTGCGGTTTTTTCGTCTTGTGAAGCACGGCTATTAGCGGCTTAGCGGCTATTAACGGCTTAGCAGCTTTAAGAAAAAGGAAACAAACTCGCAAGAACTCGCAAGACGTTTCGTCTTGCGAAGCAAGCCCATAGGGAAATTCGTCTTGCGGAACGACTCAAAAAACGGAAAACCCTTTCGTCTAGCGAGTTTTTCGTCTTGCGAGGCATTCGTCTTGCGGGGCACCACTGTAACATAGGAGATCCGTGATGAGATAGGGACACAGGAAGCTACCTTTATGGTTCATTTAACCCAGGAGAGCTTGGCTTTCTGGGGTCTGAGACCGAGAGGGATCTGAACTTTTTTGACAGGAGATGCAGGGGGTTGAACCTGGAACCTTTTATAGGTGAAGCATTCAGCTGTAGTCCCCTTCCCGTGAGGACCCCTCACCCCCAGCAAAAAAAGCCAAACCATTTTGGGAGCAAGTGTTTAACTGTTCCCTGATCTAAGCTGCTCTTCCTCAAAAGGGAGAAAAGGGAGAGAGGGGAAAAATACTGAGTGGTCTTGAGCAATTCCCTATCTATCAGCCTCAATCTCTAATCTGTGAAATGGGAGTAGCTATGATCTGCCTTACAAGGTTGCAGAAGAACAGCTCTCTGTAAAAGAAATTTAAATGACACCATGCTGAAAGTTCCAGGAATGATAAAGAGATTGTGAGGTGCTAAGCCCTTTTTTAGAACACGTGAACCTTGGCGGGAGGAGAGGGGAGCTCACCAAAAGCTTAACATGCAAACAAGCCTCACCCACAAATACTTTCAAGCATAGCTGCTGTGAAATTTGTGTTGTCGACTGTTTCCAGCCTGTGCCCATAAAACTCTTCTCTCCAACCATGAAGTCATATATTTTATTTATCCCACGTATTTTCTGCAGGGAAAAAGTACCTCTTGGTAATATTAAAAAGATTTAGTGGATTCTGCAGCTTCTGTTTGTATTGCTCTTGGCACTAAACAATATCACAGGCTTGTTGTCTTCACCAGTTCTCCAAAGCTTGGAGGGAGTAGGGAATTACATCTCCTTTGCCTCCAGACCCTTTCATGGTTATTAACTCGGCGTGTTGCTCTGTAAATCATGCAGATGGGGCTTCTGTTGTTGTTGTTTTTTGGAATTTTACACTACACTGAACAGAGGCTGTGGCCCATGAAAAGGAGGAAATTCCCACCTGCCCTTGGGAGATTTGGGATCTATCCAGTAGGAGACCCAAAACAGTGGGCATTTTTAAAGTCAGATGTGCTCAGCCACTAAGGGCCTACTTGAGAAGCTACTAGGAGGCAATAGTTCTTTCAGACTTTTTTACCTTTAGGAAACCTGTTGTGTTGATGCCTTGAGCATCAGTGAAGAAAATTCCTGCATGTCGCAGGGGAGTCTGGGGAAGGTAGTAGGTCAAATGCACTTTTCATGGAGTGCACCAGCTGGGCCTTCTCAATTGCCCCATGTGCAAAGGAGGAGCACTGTAGAATATCCCTGGTGCTCTCCTGCATCTGTACATTGCAAGGGAAGATTGGTGGCAGTGGGCAAGTTGTCTTTCAACTCAGTAGCTTTGTGTGTTGTCAGTAACCTGATCAGCTACCAGAGCACTCTGGGGCGCCCGTCAGAACAGTTTGGAAGCCACTTTATTAAAGCACAAGTGTCCAGCAGCCTGCAGCAGAGTGGCAAAGGCAGCAGAGGTTTGTGGCATTCCTGGTGGATGGGAGACCCAGCTGAGACCCAGCTATGTCACAGAGTCAGAAGTGCTTGATCAAAAGTCCTGCTACAACTCTGTTAATGTGAAGGGGAGGGATTTGCTCTCCTGACCTTGGTAGGCTGTAGGCAGGATGCGTAGTGTGACATATAATCAATCATATGAGCTGCACAAGGCTTCATATTACACGTGCTATAAATCTGTGAGTTAATGCATATACATTTTGAGCTGGTCGATGAGACAGAGGCAGCATGCAAAGATGCAAGACTCCCTTCCTACCAATTGTGATCTTTCTATTTCTCTTTCCTCTCTTATTGTTTCTTTTCTTTTTCTTTTCTTATTTATTAATCCCTTAACACTTGTGTCCCAACAACTTCTTTGAGGAAGAAATAGGTAAGCACCATTCACAGCTTTCCATAATGTAGAGAAATCTAGAACATTGGAGGACCACATGTGGGAAAAAGGGGGGAATCTCTGCATATTTACTTGGGAGCAAGCACCAATAAACACATTGGCATTGACTTTCAAGTAAGCATGCAGAGGCATATACAGTAGAATACATTTTTAAAAGATAATGTTATTTTGGACCAACTGACTGCTTAGATGTTCAGCAAACTTTCAAACCTACTATGATTTTTCCCCCCCGTCATGAATGTCAGGAGAAATGAAAACAACTTTTCTCCAAAATGTCTAGACTGGGGTGGAGGTTGGAGATGGTACAGTTCAAAGGGTTATAAATGAATGGAAAAGCTAGTTGAGCCACATAGTACATCATTTTTATGTCTCTTACATTCTGTGGGACCAATATGGCTGCAACACCTGGTGTTTATATGAACAAACGGTGATAATTCCCTTCATGACATATGCAAAGAGGACTGAGGGTTTTTTTGTTTTTTGTTTTTAAAGCAGCCTGGGTACCTTGTTTCATTTTGTTTTGTTGTTTTGCTGCTAGAAACAACTTCACAGTGAATCCTACATGATGTACAGCATCTTGCATAATGTTGGCACAAAATAATTCTTACATTGTGTTAAATGTTCTTCCACCAATTTAAGTGTCCGCAGTCCAGCACTGAATCTACAGTTGTCCAAACAAACATGTTTCCTTATGAGCCTCATCCTGTGCGTTCTGAACTCTTAAGAACAGCATGCAACATTAACCACAGCATGATATGCATCCATGGTTGTCTGTCTTGTAGTTTGCCTTCTTCGCTGTTGCTTACAGTCTGTTTTCTGCTCTCTCCAGTTTACATTCTAGCGCTCTAAAAAACTCTGCGGGATCAAGGACATCAAGCAGTTCCACTGTGCTGGATGGAGGAAATCTTGGGAAATTTGAGTTTGAGATCACAGACTTCTTCCTGTTTGGGTCTCCTTTGGGGCTGGTCCTCGCATTGCGAAAAACCGTCATTCCAACTCTTGACAGTAAGTTTTCGTGTTGGGTAAAGGGGTATTTTAAAATGCTTGCAAAATATTTGTACATACTTGTAAAATAATTGTTAAAAGGTTTTGTGAGCAAAGACACAAATATGGAAAACTCAAACTATAAAGCAGACAAATGTATGGTTTTTAGAGCAGTGAAGTTATTTTGGAAGCACTGTAGGTAAAGGTAAAGGTACCCCTGCCCGTACGGGCCAGTCTTGACAGACTCTAGGGTTGTGCGCTCATCTCACTCTAGAGGCCGGGAGCCAGCGCTGTCCGCAGACACTTCCGGGTCACGTGGCCAGCGTGACAAGCTGCATCTGGCAGGCCAGCGCAGCACACGGAACGCCGTTTACCTTCCCGCTAGTAAGCGGTCCCTATTTATCTACTTGCACCCGAGGGTGCTTTCGAACTGCTAGGTTGGCAGGCGCTGGGACCAAGCGACGGGAGCGCACCCCGCCGTGGGGATTCGAACTGCCGACCTTTCGATCGGCAAGTCCTAGGCACTGAGGCTTTTACCCACAGCGCCACCCGCGTCCCTTCCAAATGTAACTACTTCCAAATGTATCTTTTTCTCTCTGTGGCTGAGTTCTGAAAAATAATGAGCTGTGTAAATGTTCAGCAAACCTGCTTTGGCTAGTGTCCATGATGTCACCATGGCACCCACCTCAAACCCTTGAGCATCTCAACTCTTCAAAGTGCTTCCATTTTAAAAGGGTGATAAATGAGATATGGCACTTAAAAATTATTCTAAGGCAGGCAGTTTGCATAAATAATGAGGGGCGGTGGAGTAAGATTGATTACCAACCCTGAGTTTGCTTGGTGGAACATAGACTTCTTGTCAGGGACGCGGACTTATAAAAAATATTGGGGGGGCCCGGGAAAGCTCATGAATAATAAATAAGCTCATGAATATGCAAATAAAGTGGCTCCGGCCCTAAATAGGGCAAGCCACGCCCCCCAGCCAGCCAATCGGCTGGCTGGGAGGTGTGGCCAGTCGGGATTCCCCTGTTCTCGCGGGGGCCAGGAGGAAGGAAATTCCCCCCGGCAGTGCCTTGGCAGTGGCGGTGGTGCTGCGAAGCAGCGAGGCAGGAGCCCCCGCCCCCGGGGATTCCCTAATCTCGCGGGGGACGGCCGGGGCTCTCCGACTAGGGCGCGCGGCTGGCTGGCTGGCTGGCGAGGGAGCAGGTGGGGAGGAGGCGGGGGACGGCGGCGGCGCTCTGCTGGAAGGGCGCCCGAGATTATTGGGGGGGCTGAGCCCCCCCAAAAAATTTTTTGAGGGGGCTCGAGCCCCCTCAGGCCCCATGGAGTCGGCGCCTATGCTTCTTGTGCAAATTGCTAAGCCAGACTTACACTATAAGTGCAGGATCCACTGGGAATTCTCTTTCAGTGTTAGGTCCATCTTCATGGGAACATATGGCACTGCCTTATCCTGCCATTGACTCCAGGGCTTCCAAGCAGTGGTCTTTCCCAGTCCTGCCTGGAGGTGCTGGAATTGAATCCCAGTGGGATACTGATGCTCTCCCAGTGGGATACAACCCTTCCCCTCTGTAATAAGCAACTGTTTGATTTATTAAATGAAATGTTGGTTATGCAGTTACTTCATAATGCTTTAGGACTATGCAATAAACAGTATGACCAGGGCTTAGTAAAAACTGTGCACATAAATATCAGCTGACTTAAATATCAGCTTACTTACATGTTGTGATTTGACAAGCTGACCAATAATACTTTGTTTTTATTTACTTATTAGCAAAAAAAATTCTGTATTGCCAACATTAAGAAAAATATTGTGTCAGTAAGCAGCATCATAGTGTCTATGTCCAGCGAATACACAGGCATACAGTGGTGCCTCGCAAGACGAAATTAATTCGTTCCGCGAGTTTTGTTGTCTTGCGATTTTTTTCGTCTTGCGAAGCATGGTGTCGGGAAAGTTTTTGAAAAGCTCCAAAAATCACCAAAGTCTTTAAAAGCCTCAAAAAAGGCTACCACACCGCGTTCTATGAGTTGCTCCTCGAAGTCAAGTCGCAACTGTATTAACGGTGTTAAGAAAAAGGAAACAAACTTGCAAGACGTTTCCGTCTTGCAAAGCAAGCCCATAGGGAAAATCGTCTTGCGAAGCAGCTCAAAAAACAAAAAACCCTTTCGTCTAGCGAGTTTTTTGTCTTGCGAGGCATTCGTCTTGCGAGGTACCACCGTACCTCATTTCATTGCCCCTCGCTTTATTGTGTTTCACAGATATTTCTCCCTACGAGGATGTGGGTGCAGTTGCAGGCAGCCTGGCTACTTCCAGGGGAAGGAATCCCACTTCCACCACTGCCCCTCTTCTGGCCATGGGAGTGGAGCTGGCTAGGGCTGAAGCTGGGTTTTTGCCTTCCCTCCACAGCAGCCAGGGGTGGGGGGCAGTCTGACTTAAAAGACTACAGTATAGTGTAATCATAACTTTTCTATGCACTGGGAAACAAAAAAAAAGTTGTGTGGCTCTCTTTATTGCAATATTCACTTTATTGCGGTGATTTGGAACCGAACTCACAATATCTTTGAGGTATGCCTGTATAAACAGCCAATGTTGTCAATGTGATGAGATCGGCAGTAAGATGGTAGACTCCAGCTTTAATATCTTGTCTGTGTTTTCCACCTCACCTTCCCCTCTCTATTGCTCAGTCTTTCAGTTGAGACCAGCCTGTCAGCAAGTCTATAACCTGTTCCACCCTGCAGACCCGTCGGCCTCACGCTTGGAACCTCTTCTGGAAAAGAAGTTCCACATTTTACCACCCTTTAATGTCCCACGCTACCAGAGGTTTCCTCTCGGGGATGGCAATTCAGCCCTCCTGGGTAAGTCAGCTTTTTTACGCCAAAAGGCATCCATGGCCACATTGAAGTGATAAGCCACTTCGGCATTCAGGTTGTGGAGGCACATGAGTGAAAATCTCTCCACGTGAGTCAGTGAGTACGGAAGAAGGTTAGGCTAAGACCTCCCTTCCCTCCAACATCTAGTTTTTCAAGTGGAGGGGATTTTAGTGTACAGTGGTACCTCGGGTTAAGTACTTAATTCGTTCCGGAGGTCCGTACTTAACCTGAAACTGTTCTTAACCTGAAGCACCACTTTAGCTAATGGGGCCTCCTGCTGCTGCCGTGCCGCTGGAGCACAATTTCTGTTCTCATCCTGAAGCAAAGTTCTTAACCTGAGGTACTATTTCTGGGTTAGCGGAGTCTGTAACCTGAAGGGTATGTAACCCGAGGTACCACTGTTTTGAAAAAGTATTTAATCATGGGCACCCTTGTCTGCTGTTTGAAGTGGTATACCTCATGCACTGGTTTCTCACCTCTGTAAGAACTCAGCCTAAGATGGAACACACAGTTACGGAGACCAACAGGCATTTTGGTTGTAGGAACAGTGTTTGAGTTAGCATTAGAGCTGCTGGGTTGAGTATGCCTGGCGGCTAGGCCACCTAACTGGATTCTGCAGACCCGCCTTCTTACCCCAGAAGTGTGTGATCTGGCTTTGTTGACTCAGTGCTAAGGGAGGGGCACTTTGCAAAGTTCAGGGCTCCTCCCCTCTCCCCACCATGAGCCCACAGACATAGAGCAAAAGAATCCCAGCTGATGCAGGGTGTGTGTGTGTGTGTGTTTTCACTACAAGTTTAAGCCTCTCCCAAACCTATTTTGCTGACATGAGTCATGGTAACTTCCCAACCAAGTAGCCTGAGAACTGTGGTTTTGAGATGGAGATAAGATAGAGTTGCTAGCACCCTCCCAAACTACAATTCCAATAGTTTTTGGGGGGAAAACATTTACATTTTTCAATGTGTTCTTTTGCTTGTTGGAGTCCTTCCAGATTGGGTTGTTTGGTTCTTTTGCAGCTGTATTCTGCACCAATAATTATTGATGCAATAACAGTGCTTTAATGGTGGACTGTATCTGACGGTCTTCACATTATTCCACGCACCTTAGCTGTTCTGTGATGCTTCCCCAACCTTACCACATTGCTGCCTGCTGGAGGAGCAGGACAAATAATAAACTGGAACATTTGTGGTATAAAAAGACCTAAGTCTCAGAGGTCTACCTTTTTCATCATGACCCAGTCCCACTGGAATCTCTTCAGATTTAGCAACAAAACAATATATATATATTCTCTGCACTACTGAAATCTAGAAATGTGCCTTGTTGAGCAAGGAGAGTGGGTGATTCTGATGATACCTTGAACTTTACTTAGAAGTAAAGTGCATTGATGTCTATTGAATTTTTTCCAAGTGAGCATGCTTTAGTTCATAACCCAAAAGACACCAAAATTGCATGCCACCATGTGCCCTAATTTTGTTCCACGTGGCAGAGGCAAGTACAGATGTGAGTAACCCTGACTTGAACATTCCTTGTGGTCTAAGTATATGTGATGTCAGCAGATCTATGTTACAGAATTCTGGTCGCAGCTGAACAGGTATATAAGAGTTTGAAGTCATTTCACGTGGAGGAGCGTGTGAAAGAGGTTGCTGAACCCTGTCCCCACACCACACTCCCACCCCCTTGAAACTACTCCCCATCCCTTGTTCGTCTCCCATTTAAACTCTGACTGGGGGAAAGCCTCACTAGGGGCTCACTAGGGGCTAATAATAGTAATAGTAATAGTAATAATAGTAATAATAATTAATAATGATTTATTTTTATTTATATGCCACCCATCTGATTGGGTTGCCCCAGCCACCCAATATTAAAATAAAATATTAAAATGCAGCCTCATCACAGAAGGAGAAAGGAAAAAGAAAAGAAAAGAAAAGAAAGGGGGGGAGGGAATCAAATTGGCTCCAAGCCAAAGGCTAGGTGGAACAACTCTGTCTTACAGGCCCTGTGGAAAGAAATCAGATCCTGCAGGGCCCTGGTCTCATGAGGCAGAGCGTTCCACCAGGCCGGAGCCAGAGTTGAAAAGGCCCTGGCTCTGGTTGAGGCTAATCTAACTTCCTTAGGGCCTAGGACCTCTAGGGTGTTGCTATTTATGGACCTTAAGGTCCTCCGGGGGGCATACCAGGAGAGGCAGTCCTGGTACGAGGGTCCTAGGCCGTGAAGGACTTTAAAGGTCAAAACCAGCACCTTGAACCTGACCCTGTACTCCACTGGGAGCCAGTGCAGCTGGAAAAGCACTGGGTGAATATGCTCCCATGGCAGAGACCCCATGAGGAGCCTCGCTGCAGCATTCTGCACCCGCTGGTGTTTCTGGGACAGCTTCAAGGGCAGCCCCGCGTAGAGCGAATTACAGTAGTCAAGCCTGGAGGTGACCGTCGCATGGATCACTGTGGCCAGGTCGGGGCGGAAAAGGTAAGGGACCAACTGCTTGATGCGGCGAAGGTGGAAAAATGTCGCCTTGGCTGTTGCTGTAACCTGCCCCTCCTTGGAAAGTGAGGGGTCAAGGATTACACCCAGACTCTTAACGGAAGGCAATGGCACTAATTGGGCCCCCACAAGAGAAGGGAGTTTGTCCCTCATCCCCATGCCATCCCGACCCAGCCATAGGACCTCTGTCTTCGAAGGATTTAGTTTCAATCGGCTCCCACGAAACCATCCAGCCACAGCTTCCTAGGTCTAGGGAGTCCCCCCACCTGCCCACCCACTGTCCCCTAGAAACAATACTTCTGTGGGGATTCAGCCTCAATCCGTTGATCACCCTCCACCCCCCAAACACCGCCAGACCCCCACACAGGAAGTTCACCACCTTCACTGGTTCCAGTTTAAACGAGGTAGAGCTGGGTATCATCCACATGTTGGTGAACACCCAGCCCAACCCCCCGATGATCTCTTCCAGCGGTTTCACATAGATGTTGAAAAGCATGGGGGAGAGGACAGAGTCCCGAGGCACCCCACAAGTGAGCACCCAGAGGTCCCTCACCACTAGTTTCTAGACATGCCCCAGGAGGAAGGAGTGGGACCACTGCATAACAGTGCCCCTAACTCCCAGCCCTCTTAGGCGGTCCAGGAGGATACTGTAGTCGATAGTATCAGAAGCTGCTGAGAGATGCAGCAGACCTAGCAAACAGCTTTCACCTTTGTCCCTACCTGATCATTGAACAGCACAACCAAGGCAGTTTCAGTCCCATGGTGGGACCTGAAACCCGATTGGAAGAGGTCCAAATAGACTGCATCCTCCAGATGTGCCTGGAGTTGTTCCATGACCACCCACTCAATCACCTTGCCCAGGAATGGAATATTTGAGACTTGGTGATAATTGGCCATGGTGGCCAGTTCCAAAGATGTTTTTTTCAAGAGGCAGTTCAATAACCACCTCTTTAAGGGGTTCCAGGAAGACTCACTCACACTCCACCACTCCACAGAGCCCATTGCCCAGTCCTTTCTGGTTCGCTTTTGTGGGCCAGGATGGGCAAGGGCCGATAAGACTCATTCAAGCAGCCTGGCCAGGTTGAAATTGATCCCATGAACGTGACTAGACAGAGTGCTGGCACCCTCCCACCCCAGCCCTGCCCCACTGTGAAGTCTGCCTCCTTCCAAATTTGAGCAATTTTATCTGCAAAAGACTTTGCTTTGTCTGCTTATTCACACTTCCTCTTGTCCTGCTCTTTTCCCCAGGGAAAACTGCTCTTTAGTGCTCAATTGAAGCAAACAGCAATCAGGTTTCCCATGGGCTGCCATTTATTCCATTTTAGAGCTAAGGAGCAGGTTTTCCCTGGGAATGGAGCAGGACAAGGGGGAAACCGCTCGGATCCATGCCTAGAAAAGTGGATCAAGCAGAAAACTGCTTGGAAGTGTGCTTTCTAGGTACAGGACAAGCAGAAATGTGAGCAAGCCCTAGGTGAAGCAGGTGTGAAAAGGTGCTGAAATCTCTTATTTCTGGCAGGAAGAAGTGGTTCAGCACCCCTTCCTGATTCTCTGCTGTAAGCCACTAGCACCCCACCCTCTTAACACCTGTTCAGACCTGACCACCATCACATCTACCTTAGAGCCCTTGGTTTTCTTTCCTGTGTCTGAATTCCTTTAGGCAAGGTCCTGAGCTGTTGTTGACATCAATTGTGAGGTCTCTTGTTGTTACACTTTCTGTGGTTTGTTGTTGTTTTTTTGCCCCTATTTGTTTTCTTCCTCATCTGCTTCTAGTTGAAACAGTCCAGAGCAACCCTGTCCTCCTCGTAGAAAGCAGCCCACTGGTTGCTCTCCAGAACCACGACAGCTTCATGGAAACCAGTATCCCTGTTCCCATCCTGAATTGGCAAGATATTTCCAGTAAAAATTCTGGATTTGCTGAGTGTGTGTAACGTGCCCTTCTCCCTCCCCATACTGTCTTGTGACATATATTCTTGGGATTGTGGGTGATGCTTGATAAGGAGCTGGTTCCCCGCCCCCAAGGATCATGAAAGCTTTCCCTACTGCCTTCGTGGCCAGGTTGATTCCCCCAGGACAAAATTGGCAGAGGCAGGGACAGTATTCTTTTCAGAGGACCAACTACAGTGGTACCTCGCAAGACGAATGCCTCGCAAGACAAAAGGGTTTCTGGTTTTTTGAGTTGCTTCGCAAGACGATTTTCCCTATGGGCTTGCTTCGCAAGACGGAAACGTCTTGCAAGTTTGTTTCCTTTTTCTTAACACCGTTAATACAGTTGCGACTTGACTTCGAGGAGCAACTCATAGCACGCGGTGTGGTAGCCTTTTTTGAGGTTTTTGAAGACTTTGGTGATTTTTGAAGCTTTTCCAAAACTTTTCCGAAACCGTGCTTCGCAAGACGAAAAAAATCGCAAGGCGGAAAAACTCGCGGAACAAATTAATTTCGTCTTGCGAGGCACCACTGTACCTGTACAGAATGTTGGAGTTACACAGAATTTTTCAGATATAGTGCACACAGCAAAAATGGGAAACAAGCAAATACAAAAACAGGTAGCAATTTTATGTTTAAAATTGGGAGTAATATTCCCTGCCCCTTTTTAATTTTTTACTTTGGACACTGGTACCTGAAGAAGAACTCTGTTCAAGTTTGCTCAAAAGTTCACCTCCAGCACCTTTAGCATTAGTGCATAGGCACTACATCATCTGTTTGGTATACCTCCCTTTCTGATAAGTGACAAGCAAGCAAAGCAACCCTCTTTCCTCCCCTTGGCCACGCATGCCTGATTCTGCAGGGTGGAGGTACACACTGTGCGCAAGGTGATGCCCGCTGAGCCGAGAAGAACCAATTCACACCTCCACCTCTGCTTGGAGAGTTTTAAAATATCCTTTGCTTGCATTCAGCCTAGCTCACGCAGACAAGCTTGTCCAAGGTGCTCAACACAAATGTATAGGCTTGCAGTTTTTCATGCTGCCGCTCAGTCCACTTTGGAGGGGTTTGCGTGTGGTTAGGTGCAAAGTTGCAGATTGATGTTCACAGTGATGAGACATTTTCTGTCTGGGCAGGAGGAACCAAGTGACCCACTGCAAGAGGCAAGGGAGGTCGCGTGATGCTACAACAGCAAAAAAGGAGAAGGTGAAAATCCCAGTGACTCAGCATTTAGCTGACTCATTATCCAGCCTGCAGTGCTAGCGGAAGGAAGAGATTCCTAGTTCATTCCCACTGCTAGGTCTAGGAACTGAGAATTCGTGACTTTGCATTAAATGTTTCTGATTAGGGTGCCATCTGCCCTACTTTACACAGGACAGTTCTCTATTTGAAGGGCTTGCCTGCCCAGTCCAGCTCAAAGAGCCCTAAGGAGGGAGAGCAGCAGAGGGAACATTGAAGTTGCCCATCAAAAAAATAGCAGCACTGTCTTCTCTACTAGGATGCAGCGGGACTTTATTTCTGAATTTGCATCTGTAGATATAAATTGGCATATACAAATTTTATGCACCTGGCATTGGATTCCAAGTGTTCCCCCTGCTGTTTAGGATATGAAGTGCATGCTTTGTGTTCCGTAGAAGTTTAAACTCCCTGAGGTGGTCATCCAGCATCCCTTTTATAGCACAGGAAGGGGCTGGCAATATCCACTTCCCCCACACCTCTCCTGTGCTATTAAAATCCCTGTAAAATTGCACTGCTTGCTTATGCGATATGTATCTACTCTAGGGGGCCGAGGTGTTCTTCTGCCAAGCAATGCATGCAAAAATGAATATAGCTAGGATAAAAATAGGAACAAAATGTGAAAATAGCCCACAAAATGCATTGTTTTAGGAGAAATTGCCTTGCAAAAATGCATATATCAGAAGAAATTCATACTAAAATGCAGATTAATTTGCATGAAGGCTTTTTAAAAATCAGAAACCGCTGTGGAAATGTGGGGAACTCAAATTAAAAGTGGAAAATAAGAAACAGAGAGAATGAAATTGGCAGATTTGCCCCTCCCTAGGCAGCTCCTGCTCCTGTGGAGGTCTAAAAACAGAAGGAAGTTCCCTGCATCCTCACTGGAGCTCCCTTTGTAGGAACTTCTTTCATGTCCCGAAATATGCTGTTTCCAAATATGCTCAGCATTAAGTTTAGACACCAATCATGTACAGGATTCAACGTTTATGTGGGAAAGCTTTCAAGACCTTGGTGCCTCTAATGGCTTCTGCTTCCAAAATCGAGTTTCCTTTTGTTGCTGATTTTCTGCCTGGCTGCATTTCTTTTCAAATTTTGCATCAAAGGGGCGTTTGCAAGATCGCGGTTGACTTGTGAAAATAATTGGAGTGGATCGTTCCTCCTTCATACTTATTTTCAAAACTGTGCAAATCACAGCTTTTAGGAAGCAAGGTAACGACCTCCAACTAAGACCTGATGCTTACAGAGGATGCCTAGTGGTCGTTGACCAATAACATCTAATAATTTATCATCTGATGGGATTTTAAATTAGTACCATTTTATCTGCTGTTTCTACTGACTGCTTTTGTTTTTATAGAGTTTATATGGTTTTAAAATCTAAAACAGCACGGAACTCGTCTGTTTGTGTACTGAAGGGCAGTATATCAATTTAGAAATTAACACTGAAAGATTATGCATGCTGTGATGTCATTGCAAATTTCAGTGCCTGTTAAAAACATTCCTGTTTAGACAAGCCTACCCAGATGCTTAGAAAGTTGAGGTAATCTTAATCTGTTTTAGTATTTTAATTTTTGTATGTTTTAAAGTAAGGTTGTAAACTTTTCTTGAGTTTGCTATTTTATCTTTTGTAAACATTGAGGGTTGTTAATGTTTTTTGTTGTTGTTTTTTTTTTTTGCAGCCAAGGGGTGTATAAAGTTTAGGAAAATAAAAAAAACAAAAACATCCTTCCCACTTCTAAAAGCCACAGATGGTAAAAGGCCAAAAGTGTGGTTACTGAGGAAGGTTTTTGCCTGCTGCCTAAATATATATAATAATGGCAGCTGGCCAACAGGGAGCCACTGCAGAATAGGCCCAAGATTCAGAATGTGTGAGATGGAGATGAAGAATGCAGCAGTCCGGTTCTTCTCTTAAGCTAAGACTCAGGAACATAGGAAGCTGCTGTATGCTAGGTCAGACCATTGGTCCTCCAGCTCAGATTTTTCCACATTGACTGGAAGCAGTTTGCCAGGATTTCAGGCAGGGATCATTCCCAGGCCTACCTGGAGATACTAGGGATTGAACTGGGACCCTCTGCAGCCAAAACAGATTATTCCACCCCTAAACTACACAGTCCTCCCCCTGCAAGACAGTCTCCCATGCCCTTTTCACCCTAGCTCTACAAACACTGTAAGGCAAAGCTGCTGAATCAAGCCAATGCCCATCTCTTCCAGCATCCTGTTCTCACAGTGGCCAACCAGATGCTTGTGGGAAGCCTGCAAGCCGAACATCAACACTCTGCCCACCTGTGGTTACCAGCAGCTGGTATTGGCTCTATCAGATTCACACAGTGCCATCTAGTGGTAGGAGGGGCAACAATTTCTTATGGGTTTGGATTTTTATGTCTACATCTTCCCCCTATGGATTTGTGGGCCAGGTCACATACCATTAGCTGCAAGAGTTTTGTTTCTTTGCCACTGTGTTTTTGAATTACACAATCTTTCTTACCTGTGTTAACGTACTAACTTGGGGTCAGAAGTTTTGATGTGCCAGAGTGGACTGTCCTGGAAAAGAGATGCAGGAATGAGGAAGATCGCCCAATACTGGGGAGAAGCATGACGTAAAAATCCGGACTGCTAGGAGCCATGCTATTTCTCTGGAGCTATAAAATCGATCCCATGCCCTCACCTCAGACACCTGCGATGTCTCTACAGAAATGTGCAAAGTGTGGGAAACAAGCAAGAAGAACTTAATTTCTTAATACAGGATGACAAATATGACCTAATAGGCATTACTGAAAACTGGTGGGATGTGACTTGTGACTGGAATGTAGAAATTGAGAGGTAAAACCTGCTCAAAAGAAAGGAGGAGTAGCAGCAGTCCTTTTTTCTGGGGGGACACAGGGGTATGCATACCCCTAAACATTTTGTGAATCTTTGTACTTTTGTCCTTTTACTGTATTTATTTTCCCTGATTTCAACTATAAAATGGTGTTTTCTTGAGTCAAAATGAGAGTACCCTGATGTATACAGTTGGGAAGAGATCCATGGCCTGGGGGGATGGAAGGAAGAATATATTTGTAAAATATATAAGAGAGGGAAACAACAGTGACCTTGCTGTGGGTGTCTGCTACAGACCTTCAAGCCATACTGAGGACTTGGATTATGCCGTCCTAGAGCAGATTACCAAACAGTCAAAAAGGAGGGATATAGGAGACCTCAACTATCCCGATATCTGCTGGAAGCAACAAGGGGATCATCTCATCTTGGACCTGGGCCTCACCAACAGGGAGGAACTGATTGACGAAGTGGATGTACTGGGAACTTTGGGAGGAAGTGATCATGTCCTCTTGGGTTTCATTATACAGAGGCAAGGGAAGGCTGAGTGTAGTCAGACATGCACTCTGGACTTTAGGAAGGCTGGTTTCAAAAAGCTTGAGCGACTGTTGTGTGAAGTCCCACGGTCAGAAATACTCAAAGTGAAGGAGTCCAAGATGGATAGGAGTTTTTTAACAGTGAAATACTGAAGGCACAAAGGCAGTCAATTCCAACAAGAAAGGAAAGTGGAAGGCACCTAAAGAAACCAGTGTGGCTACATAAGGAACTTACAGATGAGCTGAGATTTTAAGAAGGTGATGTGTAGGAAATGGAAGAAAGGAGAAATCATGAAGGAAGAGTATACAGAAGTAGCCAGCAGATGCAAGGCCAGGTGGGCCAAATCTCAGAATGAACTCAGACTTGCAAGATAGTTAGGTTAAAAATAATAGAAAGGTTTCTTCAGCTATGTTCAAAGCAAGAGGAAGAACAAGCATGTAGGTGGAGAAACTGAGAAGATGGAGAAGACAGAGGTTGGTGACAGAGAAGGCAGAACTGCTGAACATCCACTGAAAGGGAAAGCAGTGCCTATCCTGGGGATAAAAGAATAAATGATGCAAAGAGAGAGCTGCAGCCCAGTACAGGAAAAGAGGTGGTAATGGAACACCTGGCTGGTTTAACGGAATTGAACTCTCCCGTGCCTGATGTAATCTCAGAACTTCTGTCTATAATTCTTGAGAATTTTTGGAGAACAAGTGGGGTCCTTGGGGTAGAGGCAAATGTTGCCCCTATCTTAAAGGGGGGGGGAGACCCAGGTAACTATCAGCTAGGAAGCTTGCCATCAGACAGGTACCTTCACTATATTCTTTTCAGAGCCTGTCCAGACATGTAGGAGTTACATATATTTCATTTCGTTTTAGCTAACGTTGATTTTAATCTTTTAAATAAATTTGTATACCAGTTTTTAAATATATTTATTGATAATTTCAAAGTTTATTTTACATTTTCCTAAACTGCTTAGAGGTCTTCCTACAACCAAGCACTATATAAATTGTGTTAGATAAATAAAATAAAATTTAAAGTCATTTCTGATTTTGTAATTGGCTTTTAACTGATTTTATCTCTGGATAATTCTTGAGTATTGTATTTTAATTAAGCAGTATATAAATTGTCTAAATAAATAAATATTTCCCAGCCAATACCACACCACTCTACTCTTCATGCTTTCTGCATGGAAGGAATCCTTTCTACAATGGCTGAACAACTCAGCTGCATTGCAAAGGTTTCTAGGATATATTATGGGGCGGGGTAGCCCACATGGTACCCTCCAGATGTTGCTGGGTTTCAGCTGCTGTCCTCCCTGATCACTGGCCTTGCTGGCTGCTGGTAATTGTAGCCCAACAACATCTAGAGCAGTGTTTCCCAACCTTGTGCCTCCAGCTGTTTTTGAACTACAACTCCCATCATCCCTGACTAGCAAGACCAGTGGCAAGGGATGATGGGAATTGTAGTCCAAAAACAGCTGGAGGCACAAGGTTGGGAAACACTGATCTAGAGGACATCTCATTGGCTATCCCTATTCTAGAGTGTAGATTCAATTCACATGATCTTGGGAGTTCCACGTATGAACTTTGAATGCATCCTAGTTATAATTTGCACCCAAAACTCAAATGCAGCTGATCAGTAATGACGGGCAAAATGTATTTCACGGACACTTGTCTGCAATTAATGATGTTTGAATGGAAGAATCCGTGGGGGGCTTCTGAAAGACCCTCTGCCCTGATTTCCCAGAAACACAGTTTGTATATACATTGCTCTGTGCAAGACGTGTATATTGGTGTGAGCCCATCCAATAGGCAACTCGGGTTCTTTCAGTCACATATTTCTGTTTTCTTTCAAGGCAATTATTTTGTTTATGACTACAGAGCTGCTGGACCCTTTTTATGCTTATTTGTGCTGGCGTTGGTTTAATTTTCCAATCTGGGAGCTGTTGAAATGCTTATTCCATCTAACCAGCTTTGAAAGATTCGGTTTGACATCAGTCGCGGTGTTTTCTGCCTTTTCTTTGTGTGTTTCGCATGTTTTGCTTGGTTTTATTTGATTTTTGCACCTTGTTCATCTCACCATGCTCTATGTCCGTTTGGTCTAATATTTTTGATTTCCCTGTTTCGTCTCCGTAGCGGATGTTGTTCAGTCTCATGGTGGCATCTTCATGGAAAGTGCATCCCCTTCGGCTCCCATTTCAGCCCCCCAGTTCAGGGGCTTCCGGAGAGCCAGCGAGGCCAGCATTGCCAGCCAGGTCTCGGGAATGGCAGACAGTTACACTGCTTCCAACATAGCCAACAGTAAGTGTTCCTCCCCCCCCCAAAAAATGTCGTCCTTTCCCACTAGCTCCCCCACACCAGGTCTCTGAGCAGCTTGAAGGATTGACCGATGTCCTGTCCTGCTTCATTCTTGTCACTGAGATTCTGGGGTCTCCAAACTGCAGGCCTAAAAGAACAAGCATTCTCATCTGAAAAGGAGGAGGGTCTGGGCTGCAGTCTGGTTTCACTTCAGTGCTCCTTCAGTTCTTTTAATACTTATTTATTCAAAGTGCTGCGCATGCATCATCTGATTGAAATCCTCACACCATCCCTGTAAGGTAAGTCAGTGTTGTTCTCCTCCATATTGCAAATGGAGAGATTGGGGGTGAGCTAGAGTGTCTTGCCTAAGGCCACGTCATCCGGACACAGGCAAGAGTCAAACCAGGGGCTTGCTGATTCGTAGCTCAGGTTTCTCTAGCCATTATTTCTACACCAGCTCTTTGCATCTCAGGGATCAGTAGCTGGAGCTGTTCCACATCTGAAACACATATATACAAACACTCACACACACACACTCACAGAGGTACACATGTAATACTTTCTAAGGTTGTCACCTCATTAAAGACACCTTAGTTGATAATACTATGGGTTTGAATTAATTAGTTGCAGAGTTAAATATTTCTTATGGTTATGACTAAAACGCTTTTACTTTTTTAAGAAAAGAAAACAGTCTGTCCATAAACTTCTCCATCCTACCTGCAAGCAGCATTTGAGGCAACGGCGGGGGTTGGGGGCAGTTGGGGGAGGAAATGACATGGATGCTTAGATCATTGGTGTGGATGATGGCGCCAGGAAGAACCACAGTTTGCTGGGAGCAGAGCTGGAGGTTCCACTGCCCCCTTCCACACACTTTGCCCCTTGATGTGTATAGTGTCTGTAGGGGAGGGGATTATAGTTGTTGCTTAAACAGCCGGTGCTTTTCCTTCATAGCCCCATCACACTATCAAAGGACAAAAATTAAGTTGCATTCTTTGCATGAGTTGTGTTTTAACAGGTGTGTGTTTTGTTTTTGTTTTGTCTTTTCCCCTATCGTTTCAAATGTTCCTTTTAGAAAACAAACACCATCTCACCCATTCCAGGGGGTTTAGCCTTCTAGCCCTGCTTGCCCTCCCACACAAGGCCCCCACCCACCCCTCGCCCAAAAGGCATAGGGCACCTAAACCTGAAATTTCCCAGAACCCCTTAGGAAGAAGGGTTGGGAGCTCCTCCCATTGGGAAGTGGATGCCATTCTACAGATCCCGGACCTGGACATCGACAAAGGTATTCTGGAGAGAGACAAGGGGAGCAAGGTGCATCACTGACTAACCTCCTCTGTCGCTCTCTCCAGAGCCAAGTGGGTCTGCTTTTCATGGGACTCCTTCACCATCTTGGCATAGTTTAAACAACACTTGCTTCCACTCTGCTTTGATGACTAACTTTCTTGCCTCTAACAGCCACCTGCCTCTGTAGTGCACACTCTGGTTAATTTTAAAATCCTCTATAGCACTTGCAGTACTGTTGCTGCTGTTTCTTAGGAGGAAGCAGCTATTATTGACTGTCCTGTTCGGAGGATCCCAAAATCACAGCTTTGAACTGCAAATAGAAAGCTGGAACACCTCCACTTATGAGATGGCTTTGGCTTGGGAGTAGAAATAATTGCAAGTTTGTTTTGATAACTGCTCCTCTCTTATGTCAGAATGTGGGGGGAAAGAAGTCTTTTTTGGCAGGATTTTCCAGAAGTTTTGGTTTTCTTGCTGGTCTGGTACAACACAATCTGTTCTATGATAGACATCTGTGGTAAGGCAAATAAATAAATTTGAGAAACCCAGCAGGACAATTGAAGCTATGCTGTCAGAATGGCAATTTATGACCTCCATGCAACTAAATGTTCTCCTAACAGGACAATGTTTGGCTTCCTCCTCTTGCCTTTGCACTGAAATTCTATAGCAAGGAGTCTAGAGAGGATCTGCTGTGGGAATTGGTGAGGCGAGGGGCATCCTTTCTCAACAATACACTTCCTGCCTTTTCTTTTGACACTCAGCAGCTTTTGAGAGGCTGTTGTTGATTTAGAAATTTGTATGAGAATGTGTGTTTTAAAAATTAGACACCCAGAAATTTGCAGAAGTTTGCAGGTGCTAAGGTGCCTCAATGGTGGTCTCCTGACACATAGCTATAATGATAAGACAGGTAAGTGACAGACTGAAGTACAATTTCCGCTTTTGTTCCTAAAGAACTTTGGTGCCCAGTTTAATATGTGGTTTGAACCCAGCTACCTCTGTTCCAGAGGCCATGACAGGCTCTCTGCGCTGGCTGAGGCTGATGGGAAGTTGTAGGCCTAAACATCTGAAGGGCACCAGTTTGGGGGAAGCATAAAATGTTCTGAAACTTCTAAAAATCACCAATTAATTTCTCCTCTCTTACTGTGGGACATGGCCACACTACAAATCTATAGTAGTTTCATACTTGTTTAACTGCCACGGCTTCCCACAAAGAATCCCAGGAACCACACTTGTGCTGACAAGACTGAGAATGCTGTGCTACAACTGGGATCTGCAACCAAATGCTGCAGCATGGAGTGCTCCTGTTCAGAGTGCCAGCCAGCAGCCTCCTCTTCTAGGATATGTTGTTCTCTCCCCCCCCCCAACCTGACTTTCTCCTTTCTTTACAGTTCTCCACCCCATAGGCAGCACTGGCTATGTTCATCCTCACTGGGATGTTGGAAGTAGGGGCTTGCCCCAAGAGTTTCCTCTTCTGCAAACATCAGGGTTCCCCTGATAATGTTGATACCTTCCTCTGGTATGTGAGTGGTGCCAGTTTGATTACATAAAGATCAGCACTTCCCTCTGAATGTGGCTGACAGGAGGATTGACTGAGCCTGACACCAGCACCACCCTGCCCTTCACAGCAGTTTGAGTTTCCAGGGTTTCTTGGGAGAGAGGCAGATTTTTTTGAAGCAAATGCATAGTGAAGAATACCAGTGAAGAATCCTCTTGAGGTATCCTCAGAGGAACACCGCAGTCCCCCCCCCCCGCTTCAAGGTTTTTTGGAAGATTCCATGGCAATTTAACTGATATGAAACCTGATGTGAATCCTGAGAAGTGGAGTTTGTTACGGTTGCCGAGAGATGTCAGGAGAGCTTCAAGAAAAATGCAGAGAGCAAAATCAACCCCAGTATATGGCGTTTATTGACCTGAATAAGGCTTTCGACACCGTACTGCCCTGTGGAAAATCGGCTGAAAATCGGCTGCCCAGATAAATTTTTGAACATCCTTCGGCTCCTCCATGATAACATGACGGCAACAATCGCAGATAACAATGGCTCTCAAAATGTACCATTCACAGTGGGATCAACGTAATGTGTGCACACTCAGAGGATGATATCCAAACCATCCTAAATATCTTCACAGAAGCTTATGAAAATCTTGGGTCTATCACTCAATATCCAAAAAACCAAAGTGCTGCACCAACAAGCACAAAACAACCCCTCTGCAGCGCCACAAATCCAACTTAATGGTGTAAGATTGGAAAGTGTCAATCACTTTTCCTACCTGGGCCGTTACCTTTCCACAAGGGCCAGCATTGATGCCAAGATCCAGCATCGCCTGAGCTCTGCAAGTGCAGCTTTCTCCCGATTGAAGCGCAGAGTGTTTGAGTGCGCAGGGAAACCAAAATACTCATTTTACAAAGCTATTGTGCTACCAACATTACTGTACACTTGTGAAACATGGACCACTTATAAACGCCATTTCCAGCTCTTTGAAAAATTCCATCAACCGACTGTCCTCTGGAATACAGGTGAACTAATGCAAAAAGCAAAGATCACCAGTGTCGAAGCAATGATTCTTTAGCATCAACTTCGTTGGACTGCTCATGTTGTTCGGATGCCTGATTACCGTCTTCCAAAGCGACCACTCTATTCCCAACTCAAGAGTGGAAAGCGAAATACCAGTGGATAACAAAATAGGTTTAAAGACGCTCTCAAGGCAAACCTAGAATAATGTAACCTAAGCACTGATAACTGGGAAACACTGGCCTGCAAATGCTCCAGTTGGAGAACAGCCTTTACCGGCCTTTACCAAAGGTGTCATGGACTTTGAAGAAGCTTGAACTCAGGGCAAAAAGGAGAAAGAGGAAGGCACGTTTGGCAAACCCTCACTGTGATCAACTGCTTGGAAACCTGTGTCCCCACTGTGGAAGGATGTGTGGATCCAGAATTGTCCTCCACAGTCACGGACTCACTGTTAAGACCGTGTTCATGGAAGACAATCTTCTCGGCTACGAGTGATCACCAAAGAAGAAGACGACTCCCTTCACAGAGCTACAATTCCCAGGATTCCCTGGGAAGAGGAATGAATTATTAAACCAAATTACACTTCCCAGGGTTCTTTAGGGGAAGCGATGACTGTGTGAAGCAGTGTGACACTGCTTTAGTTGTATAGTGGAGATGGGGCCAAAGTTGTTACACCCAGAAAGAGAGTTTTCTGACATTTTAGTTGGGAAAGCAATGGGCCTGAAATGTAGACTTGAATTATTTTTTACTTTTCTTTTCCATGAAAGGAATAATTCAAATGTTGGGGTTTTGTCTCCTTTTGTTTTGTTCCCAGTTGCTGCCAAATGGTGGGGAACGAAAAGAATAGACTATGCTCTCTATTGCCCCGATGCCCTCACCGCCTTCCCTACGGTGGCCTTACCGCACCTCTTCCATGCAAGCTACTGGGAGTCAACAGATGTGGTTTCCTTCCTCCTCCGGCAGGTCAGTCCTATTTGGTTTGCAAATCTCCAGCATACACAGGGACTGTGCTCATACTCCCATTTACCGTGCACTCACTGTGCTTCCAGCCCCGGTCTTTAATCCATGTTCACACAAGGTTATCCAAAACACTACTCTTTGATGCACTGTTTCTCAAGCCTGCTTCGCACCTGTTTGGAGCCCTTAAGTTCCTAGTCCATCTCTAGCCAAGCCGTAGGGTAAATGCATCCCCTCCCTGTCAACATCCTCTGTTGTGTACACAAACAGAAATTAATTTGACACTCATGAAACCCTGCTGATGTGAGCAGCCAGAGGGATAGAGCGGTGAAACGATTTCACTGCGTTCTAATGTGAACACACCCTCAGTCCTCTGTTGGTATTAAATTGCAGAGGGAACTCACAGTTATTCAAGGAAACTGGACACAGCTAATTTATCATCAATTTTACTTTGCATTTTTCCAAGCTGAAAATATCTGATGCAAAGCTCCAAATATAATGAATGACTCTCCCTCTTAATAAATGTAGCTTATGATACCCTTGGCAAAGTGTTCATATTTCTAGTGCTCATGATGGTAGCGGGGGGGGGACTGTGGGGGCTTTGACTTAAGTATTTGTGAGCATGTGTGTGATGTGACATCTTCTAGCCTTCTTGCCTGCATACTCCTCCCCTCACAAACTTTCTGTTAGTTTCAACTTTTCAGTATCATAACAAAAAATAAGTGGTACAAAAATTCTGTAAAAGCAAAACCTCTAAGATTGGCTAACTAAAATAAAGCGTGCAGTTTAAATGCATGAATGTTTTGCATAGTTTAGGCCAGTTCATGAAATTCATTACTTTTAAGCTGCAATCCTATATGCATTTGGCTAGGAGTAAGTCCCCCTGAATTCAGCAGGCCTTGTTTCAGAAAAAGCCTTGTATAGGATTGCACTGTTCATGGAGTTTTCTAGCCGCTTGCCATCCTCAATATGATAGAATCAGGAAAAGGGGCAAGAGGATAGATTGGTCTCTGAAACACTTTCCTCCCAGAATCCTGGAGCCAGAGTTGCCTTAGTTAGATTGCTGAATCTGCTGGAATCTTATGTCATCCCAGGAAGTGTCTGGTGCTGCAGGGCTGAGTCAAGAGGTCAGTGGATCTGGAGGCAATGTGTGATAATAATGCATTTCTGAAGAAAAGATTTCCCCAGAGCAGGGGGAAAAGGGTTGGGATGCCATCAGAATGAGCACACAGCTTTAGCACGAGGACAGCAGACTAAATGATGACAAAGGATTGCATCCAGTCCCCCAGTAGGAGAAAGCTTTTCCTGCTATAGGAATAAAACATTTGCAGAATGTGGCAGACATGGCTGCACACAACTTCACTGTACTAGAAACACACATGCATACTTCTCATCCTGGAGTGAGCTGCAAGAAAGAGATGGGTGAGTTTTGCAAGTGTTTCAGCAAATCAGGGAAAAGCTGAGTACGATGGGTTCTTATAGGCTAGCACTTGTGATGTCACCAGCATGCTTTCCTCTATCCCTAAAGCAGTTGTCAAACTGTTTTTTTAATGTTCATAAACTTACATACATTTTTAACAGAAGGATAGGCATAAAAGTATACATTGTTTTAAAATAATTTTTTAAGTATATCCACTCCCTAAAACAAGTGGAGAGACATTAAGATTCAGAGACCTGATCCAGCATTCAATTTGCAAGAAGCATTATGAATGGAAGGAAGTTTTGGAAGCTGCTGCGAATGACCATAGTTGAGGGCATCAGCCACCACTGGGGTGCCACCCCCTGCTAAATAGAACAGGAAGAGGCAAACAGACATTCTCCAGCAGATGAGGTCCTCAGCAGCAGCAGCTTCCAAGAGTGGCCATGTCTGTGGAGCTGATAGGTAGTGCCTGCGTCAGGCAAAAACTGTGATTGTGTTGATGTTTCTGGTGTAGAACAGAGTGACAGTTGTGACAGCTGAAAGGAATCAGGATTGGACATTGGATGAGTCTAAAAAATAATTGGTCTTTCAACTGACCAAATGTCACCAGATGTGCTAAAATGTAATGTTAATTATATCAGCACAGTGACATCAAAGACACTTCAAAGTGTTGCTTGTTGCCATTAATAATTCATTTAGCACTTTCAATACGCAAATGGAAACTCCAGCCGCAATTGAAAGTGTTCTCCTGACCACTTCAACTCTGCCCATCTCTTAGTTGTTTTAAATGCCATCTGTTCACACTCACCCCATGGCTCTGTTTTAATTAATCCAGAATAACTACCAGTTCTTTAAAAATAAAAATGGCAGAGGGAAAACGTAGGAGTACAAAAAACCAAACCTTTCCTTTTAAATAAGTGCAAAACCCCAGCTAGTGCCACTCATTTGTGCAACATGTGCAAAGCACCTGGCCCCCAATAATGGAACAAAGGACATTCAGAAGCAGATATGGGTGCAAACAGGCTGCAACTTATGCAAAAACAGGCTACAACAAGTTTTCAGGGTTGGCTAGGCATAGGGCAAGAACTGGATATTGGAGAGCCCATCTGGTGTTAACGGAATTGTCCAGTGATTTCAGCTGCTCCAGTGACTTCTGCTGCCACCAGAGCTAGGCATCTTCCACTTGGCAAACAGAGTGTAGTAGATTCTTGCGCTTTGTGGAAATCCCTGATCAGGCTATGCTTTCCTCAGGTGATGAGGCATGAGAACGCCAGCATCCTGGAGCTGGATGGGAAGGAGGTCTCTGTCTTTACTCCTTCTAAGCCCAGGGAGAAGTGGCTTCGCAAGAGGACCCACGTGAAGCTAAGGGTAAGGACAGTCTTCTGTTGTTTTTGAAAAAATTAATTTTATTCTATATTGAAAGCAATATGCACTCCATTTGGCCAGTCCAAGGGTTTCATTAACGCGAGTTAATTCGCTGGCTTCATTGAGGAGCACCTTCCCCCTCTAAGTCATTGCTCCATGGCTTTCTAGCAAATTGCATCTAGCATTGATTGTGTCACCATGAAAAAAAGACAGTCGCTTGTGAAACTTGTTACTGAGCATGAAACAATTTTATTTGTTTTATTTGTAAGTGGTTCCTCTTCCTCCACTTTTTAATCCTCAGTCTCAACAACCCTGTTAGGCTGGGAGTTAGGAACTGATGCAAGGACACCCAGTGAGGTTCTTGACTTGAGCTTGAACCTGGATCTCCCCAGTCCTCGTCTGACACCCCCACATACATCTTGCTGACTAGTTTAACCATCAACCATATGCTTGTACCTCAGTGACAGAGCACACACTGTGCATCCAAAAGATTCCTGATTCAATTCTGCATCTCCAGGTGTAGGTGAGGAAGACTCCTGTCTGAAACCCTCAAGAGCACCTCCTAGTCCATATAAACAGTACTGAGGTAGATGGGCCAATGGTCCAACTCTGTAAAAGGCATAAGAAGTCCTATAAGATATGTGGAAATGAGGTCTCCTTGGCTGCCACTTAACAATTTCAGTTGCCATTCATGCGCTCCCAAGCCACTCATGCCTAGGCAGGATTTGAAACAGGGACATTGGCGCCATCCTGCTCTTCCCCTCTGTGTTTCTTCTTCTCTTCTCCCGTTGATGGGCGAGTGATTTGCAGCCTGTCTTGCTTCTCAAAGCATTCCACATATTGTACTCCAATATTTCCAATAACTGATTGGCGTCCAATTTTAACATTTTACGTGCTTTTTATTGTATGGCTTTATGTGCACTTGTTGTAAACCACTTTGATTTTTTAAATACATAATACATAAATTTACATTTACATACATTATGTAAATACATAAACATTTTACAAATAAATATTTGTCGTTGTTATTTTAAATGTTTATGCCCTGCCTTCTAGAACAGTGTCTTCCTTAACTATTTGTTCTCTGCACCATGCACATTGGTGGGTCTACATAAGTCAATAAATAAATGATTGTGATGCTGTGGTAAAGACACAGCACCCTCAGGCTGGTAGGTGATAGACCTAACTTGCAGAAAGGACAGGCTTTGAATCATAGTATTGTAGATCTGGCAGGGACCCTGAGGTCCAGACCCCTGTCTAGTCCCGACCCCTGCAAGTCAGGAATCTCAATAAAGTGTTCATGGCAGATGGCATCCCAACCTCTGCTTAAAAGCCTCCAATGAAGGAGAGTCCAGCACCTTCCAAGGGAGTCTTTTCCACTGTCAAACAGCTCTTGCCATCAGAAAGTCCTTCCTGATGTTTAGTCAGAATCAGTGGCGTAGCGTGGGGGGTGCCAGGGGTGCCAGCCGCACCGGGCGCAACTTCTGGGGGGGCGCGCTCGCTGCCTCCGGAGTCGCCGAAGAGCCTCGGGCGCAGGCTGTAGCTGGCAGCGGCTCTCAGCGCTCGCCGCGGTCCCCGCGCGTCAGGGCCACGGAGGGCGCGCCAGGCAGCCCCTCCTCACCGACGGGCAGCGTTCGCCTGCGGGGCTCGGCCAGCGCGCTTGGCTGGCCGCGTGGAGTCGCCGAGGAGCCGCCGCCGCCTGCCATGCCGCCCTGGCTGCTTCAACCGCGTCCGACAGCCGGCTCGAGGCTCCTTCCGGTCGGGTCTCCCGACGGGGCGCTGCGGGCGGAGGCTCCGGCACCAAGCGCCACGCCGCCCAGGCTCGGGTCGCTGTCTGGACGCGCGCAGCCCGCCAAACGCGCCATCGGCGGCGCTCTAGTGCCTGCGCGCCAAAACCGCCCACCCGCCCCGACGGGGCTCCCCCACCCGCGCCGGAGGCCGGCCGACGCACTGGCCCCAGAGCCGCCCCCTCCCCGCGCCAGAAAGAAGCCCCCTCCCCGCGCCAGAAAGAAGCCGCGTCGGGACTAGCCGGGCCGGGGAGGGAGAGCGAGAAGGCTGCGCCGCGACGCCCAAAGACGCGCGTCTTGGCGTATTAATGACCATGGTTAGGTGTTAGGGGGCGCAAATTACTTGCCTTGCCCCGGGTTAGGGGGCGCAAATTACTTGCCTTGCCCCGGGTGCTGATAACCCACGCTACGCCGCTGGTCAGAATCTCTTTTCATGTAACTTGAATCCATTGTTTTGGCTCCTCACCTCCAGAGCAGGAAAAAACAAGCTTGTTTTTCTTTTCTTCATAGAACGTCACAGCCAATCACCGAATAAATGATGCTATTGCCAATGAGGACGGACCCCAGATGTTAACTGGAAGGTTTATGTATGGCCCCTTGGACATGGTCACACTCACAGGAGAAAAGGTATTGTTTGTTACAGATCTAATCAGATCCCTTTAAAACAAAGAAGAAAATAAATCTTCCATTTATCTTTCTACAATAACTTTTTGTTCAGAGTATAAATCTTAAACGCCCAACTTGCAGATAGATTTAATGTCTGGATCAACTGAAACTGAAATGTGCTTGGTGCTATTCAACATAAACAGAACCTGAAGCCTGATCATCACACACACACACACACACACACACACACACACACACACGATAGATGACCTGAATCCAAGAGGTCTATTGTCGAATGAGGTCATGCTGGCTGAGACTGGTGAGAATTGTGGTGAGACATCCACAAGGCACCAAGTTACTATATAGTGCTGCTATGTAATACTCTATCAATTAACTGGGTCTGCTTCTGTCTGCTCAGAAACTTGATTTGTGACTTCATGTAAGGGCACTTTTGCAAGTGCTTTTGCCTCTGATGTGGGCATAGCAAATATTGTTATTAGGAATTGCTGCTGTCATCCTTTTTCTTCTCTGTAGTTCCCAGGCCAGGATCCAATATTCATATTCTCTTTTTATTAGGAGAAATTGTTTAGGAATGTCAGAGGTTCCAAACAATCCCCCCCCAACAACTTTAAAATAGTTGAGGTTCTTGGCAGAGCACCTCATTGTTTTTCTGTCTCTTATAGCAATTGCAGTGTGGTGTGCTAGATGCTGTTTGATTTTTAATCACATTTGTATTGTTTCTTTTATTGCTTATATTGTATTTTCTTGCATTACAGTTCAAATTCCATAAATTCAAATTGTATGTGTTCTTCACCAACCACCTGAGAACCACTGATGGTCCACAGACCACAGTTTGAGAAGCCCTGTCTTCATTGTAGGATAAAATGAGCACCTTTTCTGCATTGTACTTGGCAGGAATGGTGGCATGTATATATTTATTTGTTATAATTGGCATCCTGTTTTTTCACCAAAGGCGCACACTCAGCCTTGCTTCAGGGTGTTTGACATTAGTCTTGAGGCTAATATTGGAAGGGGTCATAAGAGTGCTAGAGGAGAGAGTAACACCCTCCGTGTTCGGGGTGCTCTGCAAAGTAACCTAAGCGTTAGATAAATGTCAAATGCCCCCAAGGAGTTCATAGTCTTCATTTCAAAAATGGAAGAGACATAGCTTAAACCACGGTATACAATTGATCCACCCCCCTCATTATAACTGCCCTGAGATCTACAGGTATAGGGCGGTATACATTTTTCCCCCTGTGTACCGCCCTGACATCTTAGGATGGGTATATAAGTACAATAAATTAATAAATTAAACAAATTAAACAAATTATTATTTTTATTATAGTCTGTTATTATTGGCAGTGACTCTCGTAAGATCTCAGGCACTGGAAGTTATTTGTGGCCCTGCTACCTAAGACACTTTTAATACTGTGTGCAGACAGTAAAGAAGATAGTAGACAAAGAATGAATGTCCTGAAACCTTGAAATCAGAACAAGATAATTTGCTAGATTGTTACTTGCTACGCATGTTCATGATTCCACATGCTTCTTCCTCCCAATTTCCTTTGTGCCGTAGGTGGATATTCATATCATGACACAACCCCCATCAGGAGAATGGGCTTACTTTGACACAGAGGTCACCAACAGCAGTGGTAGGATTTCCTACGTTATCCCCGAAAACAGGCGGCTGGGCATTGGCGTGTATCCTGTCAAGATGGTGGTCAGGTAAGTTTTGCTGCAGGATGTTTGGCTTCTGCATCCCTTTATAAGTAACTTGAACTTGGAGCCACAATGTTTGAGGGCAAGGGACTGGCCCAGACATGTTTGCTCCCTGATCAGTCTCTTAACTAACTCAGTACCTCCCTTTTCCCTTTTCCTTTAGAGGCGACCACACGTACGCCGACAGCTACATCACTGTTCTGCCCAGGGGGACTGAGTTTGTGGTCTTCAGCATTGACGGTTCCTTTGCAGCCAGTGTTTCAATCATGGGCAGTGACCCCAAAGTCAGAGCTGGAGCAGTTGATGTAGTACGGTATGAAGGATTTGGAAATGCTTTGTGTCTGCAGTTGTGCTTTGGAGTGCAAAATTATGAAAATATCCCCTTTCATTTTTAAAAGGGAAGTTGCTGGCCCCCAGGGTTTCAGGGAGAAACCTTAATTATAGCATATGCTTTTGTGAGCCAGAGTCCATTAGAGTCATGAAGTATTTGTCCTGAGGGGTTGATATGTACATAAAATAGGGGGGTGGGAATCCAGACAGTGACAATTCACAAAACTGTGTTAGCAGTAGCATAAATATTCTGGCATTAAAGCTAAAGGTACCCCTGCCCGTGCGGGCCAGTCGTGTCCGACTCTAGGGTTGTGCGCCCATCTCACTTAAGAGGCCGGGGGCCAGCGCTGTCCGCAGACACTTCCGGGTCACGTGGCCAGCGTGACAAGCTGCATCTGGCGAGCCGACCAGCGCAGCACACGGAAACGCCGTTTACCTTCCCGCTAGTAAGCGGTCCCTATTTATCTACTTGCACTTTGATGTGCTTTCAAACTGCTAGGTTGGCAGGCGCTGGGACCGAGCAGCGGGAGCGCACCCCGCCGCGGGGATTCGAACCGCCGACCTGACGATCGGCAAGTCCTAGGCGCTGAGGTTTTACCCACAGCGCCACCCGCGTCCCTATTCTGGCATTAGTGGGCTAATTATTGTATATTGGATGGTTCTCTCCTCCTTTGCCACATATTAAAGAGCTACTTTTGTTTCGTGGCACAAATACTCTGAAATCGAGGACTCCTGTCTCCCCTCTGTTAATAATAAAATAGTGGGGGGGTTAAAATAGCATTCTTTGTTCCAGGGGCATAACTTCTTCATAGCACATCCCTGCTCCAAGGCCCCCTTTCTGTGGCCTGAGACTCTTAGAGATGATGGTTTCCCCACCCAAGTTTCTTGGGGTTCCAAAATTCATTTCCTGGTCCTTTTAGTTGCACATACAAAAAGATCTGAGAACACAAAATGAGAAAAGATGTGATTGGAAAGTAGGTTACAAATGTCCTAAATGAATTTAGCAAATATATCAAATTTAAGAATGAAAGACTAGGATAAAAGGTATTTGTGGGGACAGAAGAGCAAGCATTTATTTCTCATTTATTTGTTACAAAGTGCTGTGCAAGGGAATAAATATTGCGGAAATTTCTATTGATCACTTAGCTTCACATATAGCAGCTTCAGCAGGCCGGCTCCTGGCAAAATCCTCTCTATATTTGTGGATAGCTAAGATTCCATTTCCATCTCAGTTGTTAGTATAAAAGAAAATAAAATAAAAGAAAGGGCATGTTTTCTCTTGGGCTAAGGGACTTATTTCCCAGGACTTAGGGAAAGGCCGCTGCTCGGTAGGGGAAGCGCCTTGGGTGAGTGACAGGTGGAGCACCTGCATTGCAGGCAGAAGCTCCCAGGTTCATTCTCTGAAATCTCGATTTAGGTCTGGCAGTTTCCCGGCCTAACTCAACATAAGGCAGCTTCTTGTGTTGGTTATAAGTTGGGGGAAAGTACAAGCAAAGCACCTATTGGCAACAATTGGAGAGTTTTCCTCTGAAATCATCTCGTCAGAAGCATTTATAATACAAATAGGCTCGTGAATGTGCCAAGATGGTTCAGGACTACAGCAGCAGGCAATGGTTAAAGCCCTTCCCACTCCCCCTTGCCAGATCCCCAGCCTGTAATATGCTGCATACATCCTCCCTCCCTCCCTCCTGTTCTTATTAATTGTTTTCTCCCTTCCCCTTCTTAGGCACTGGCAAGACCTTGGCTACCTCATTATCTACGTCACGGGCCGGCCTGACATGCAGAAGCAACGGGTGGTTGCCTGGTTAGCACAGCACAACTTCCCCCATGGTATTGTCTCGTTCTGCGATGGTCTGGTTCACGACCCACTGCGGCACAAGGCCAACTTCCTGAAGTCCCTACTCACAGAAGTAAGCAAGCAGAGCAGGGTTCATGCTCTCTCTCTTTCTCAGCAGAACTTCTCAAAGGCCCAGAGGCTGTGTCTATCCAAACAGTGCATGGAAATATCTGTAGGTAGTGTGGGGAGGTGTCATCCTGAAGCAAACTAAGCATCCAACAGATACTGGAAGATTTTTGGTGATGTTCCAGGCACTGGCCAGTTGTTAGCGAAGTCACTTAAATATAGCAAACAGAGTCCAGAGAGAAAAGAAACTGATAATACTTTGGGGAACAGAAAAACCCAGTATATCATATTAGGAGAAATAGAGAGGTGTTCTGTCTTTCTTAGTAGCTAAGCTCTAGTCCATAACAGGAATATATACTAATACAGAGGAGAATTCCCTCAGAACTAATCAGCTGATCAGAACCTCTTAAACATCTAACAAACACAGTTTTGACAAACTCGGTTCACTGAGGTTCCATTTTTAACCATAGTTCATAGAATCATAGAGTTGGAAGGGATTACAAGGGTCACCCCAGACAATGCAGGAATCTCAACTGTAGCAGCCATGACTGATGGCCATCCAACCTCTTCATTACATCCACCTGAGACATTTTAACTAGGGATGCAAGAGCATCCATTCATTTTCCCAAAAAGGTGCTGTGGATGGTGTATGTTCTAAATGAGCATGTGCAAAATCCCTCCAAAAGCGCTGAGCACTCTCCTCCAGCTCCCTCTTCCCCTGCCAGTAGACAAAGAAACTTCCCTTTGGGCAGGAAAGGAAGAAGCAGAGGTGGCGGCTGCAGGCTGTGGGGCCGTTGCCCAGTTAGGCAATGTTAGACTCCAAGTGTCTTCAGAGGCTCTTTGGTAATAGAAATAGGAAAATGTGTCAGGTTCAAGTTTCTCTCTGTTTCTCATTTTTCCATTCTTCAGTTCTCAACAATGCCACATCAGTTTGCAACTTTTAAAAAAGAAGCCCGATGAAAATTCATCATTTTAGTGCAGATTTCTCTTTCAATATACAGTGGTACCTCTGGTTGCGCACAGTTCCGGAGCTCCGGTCAGATCCCGAGCAATTTGCAACCGGAGGTGCTGCTTCTGCGCATGCATGCGGCACGGTAGAGCGCTTCTGCACATGTGCGCGGGGTGAAAACCAGAAGAATACTTCCGGGTTTGCTGCGTTCACATCCTGAAGGATACACAACTAGAGGTGTGCGTATACAGAGGTGCAACTGTACACATTTTAATGCACTTTTGTCTAATGTACACAAAGCAATTTTATAATATCTTTTTTGCATGAGATTTTACAATATACACATTTTTATGCAGCTTTTATTATAAGCACATTACTTTTATTTATCTATTTTGATATGCCGCTATTCATAAAAAAAATCAGAGTGGTTTACAACATGTATACTTGGCCAGTCTGCTCATCTTGGTAGGTGAAGCCCTGGAATGATGCCCCCAAACCCTGCCCAAAGTGGCACCACTTCTGGGCAGGCTGTGACCAAGACCCCTCGCTGTGCCCTTCCCAGATGGAAGGCCCTGAAGCAGCAGCAGCTGCTGCTGGCACCGCTGCCTTCCTCCTGGCCCAGCGTAAGTTACTGGGGGAAATTGTGCCGGTGGGCTTGCAGGATCAGGGCAAACCTTGTGAACGCCACTCCTGCTTTTGAGCATTCAAGGAGGGTGTTTGCCTTCCCGAGCACTTCTCCTCAAATGCATCCTTACTCTTAACATTACAACCTTTTCCCAAGGCATCCTACAAAAGATGCTACATTGCAACATCTTTGTGTGAAAACCAAGGGTCTGGTGCTATTCCAGAGGGTACATTTCCCTCCCAGTTGCCAATGATTTGCCTTTTCTTGCCCTGCACCCTGCAGCTCGACATGAAGATCCATGCGGCCTATGGATCCACCAAGGATGTCTCGGTCTACACCTCCATCAGCCTGCCGCCTATGCAGATCTACATTGTTGGGCGGCCAACCAAGAAGTTACAGAACCATTGTCAGGTAACCTCAGAATTCAGATGCTTTCACAAGGGATAGATAAGTGCCTGTATGATGAAGCTGGGAGTGCAGCCTGTCCAAACCCTGCAGCTGTGCCACTCAGCGGTGTAGCTAGCCGCTCGGGCGCCTGGGGTGGCTCCTGTGCCTGGAGGCAGGGCAGGGTAAGCCGGGGCAGGGCGTGCAGCACGGAGCCTCCAAGGAGTCTGCTCACTGCCTCCCCCTCAGCTGTAGGGCAGCAGAGGGGGAGGCGGTGAGCAGACGCAAAGCCGCACACTGCCATTTTGGGCAGCACGGAGCCTGCAGGTGCCTGAGCCACCACAGAAGAAGAAGAAGGAGAAGGAGGAGAAAGAAGGAGAAAGAGAAGGAGAAGGAGAAGAAGAATTAATTTTTTATTATTTATATCCCGCCCTCCCCAGCCGAAGTCAGGCTCAGAGCGGCTAACAACAATAAAAGTAACACAGCATTCTAAAATAAATTCATTTTAAAATCAATTCAAAATCAAATTAATGGCAACCATTGGGCTAGAGTTCTGTGAGGATTACCAAAGGAGGGGGTCAGAGTGTGCCCTGGCCAAAGGCCTGGTGGAACAACTCTGTCTTGCAGGCCCTGCGGAAAGATGTCAAGTCCCGCAGGGCCCTAGTCTCTTGTGACAGAGCATTCCACCAGATCGGGGCCACGGCCAAAAAAGCCCTGGCTCTGGTTGAGGCCAGTCTAAGCTCCCTGTGGCCCAGGACCTCCAATATGTTATTGTTTGAAGACCGTAAGGTCCTCTGTGGGACATACCAGGAGAGGCGGTATGAGAGATGGTCCCGTAGGTACGAGGGTCTTTGTTGGCATGGAGGAGAGGAATGGTGGAAAGAAAGACAAGCATCTCCTGAGGTAGTTGCAGAAGTGACTGTAGCTCAGAGGTAGAGCATCTGCTCTGCATACAGAAAATTCCAGCTTCTTCAGTCTGCAGCATCTTCATGTCGGGTTGGGAAAGACCCCTGCCAGAACCCTGGAGGGCCGCTGCCAGTCAGCCGTACTGAGCTAAATGCACCAAATGCTGACTCCATATAAGGTACCTGCCTCATCTATGGAGAGACAAAAACGGACCCAGTCAGGGGATGCGCAGGAAAAGCAGGCAAGTAGCCCAGTAGGCCTGGAACAAGATGGGAAGTCATTGGATAGGGGAGAAGCAGCAAGCCTGCCTATGCCTTGCCTGGCTATGTGTCTTTCTGAAAACAGAAGCATATTTCAGTCAAAATTTTCAGGGGATCAGTGTTACATTTGTACTATCAAGATTTACCAGTGTGGTTTAAGAGATTTTTAAAATTTTTGATTTGGGTCTTTTAATAGCATGGTCCAAGCTTAGGCAATGGAGAACTGAGTACGCAGATCTTGTACACTTCCTTGGAATCCATTTGAAGAAACACAGTTTAGACATATATTATATTAAATAAAATACATATATACACAAAGTGTATCAAAGATGAATAATGGCCATTGCAGAAACAGCATTAATATGATTAGCAAATTTGCTTATTTGGGTTGACATTTAGATGGCTTTTTGCTGAATAACTTATCCTGGTGCACATACAAGTAAGTTTGTTGCCTATATTGTTTTGCCAGCTGCTGAGGAGATTTTGGTGCCTGCTTCTCAATTTCTAAACTAGTGTGTCAGAGAGACTTCTCCTTGGCACTTGGCAGGAAGGCAGAGATGACCAGCTTATGGAGGGGTTCACACATTCCACTTACCCCGCTTCAACAGTGAGAACCACATCCTGCATGGCAGATTATTCTCTGGGTCTGGCAACCTGAGATAAATTTGTCACTTGGTAAACAGTTGCCTTGGCAGCATCTGAAATGGCAGCTGTGAAATTGCATTTGGCAATGAAAGCAGACTGAAGTTTTGGACTGCAGATGTCTTCCAAAAATAAGCTTTCATTTTAATTAAATTTGCAGTTCATTACCGAGGGATACGCAGCCCACCTGGCCCAGCTGGAATACACCCATCGCTCCCGCCCTGCCAAAAACACCACCCGGATGGCTCTCCGGAAAGGCAGCTTTGGCCTCCCGGGCCAAACGGAATTCCTGCGCAAGAGGAACCACTTGCTGCGCACCATCTCCTCTCAGCCAGCCACGGCAGCCAGCGGAAGCAGTGGCTACAGGCCGGAGCGAACCCAGAGTCAGTCAGAGAGTGACCGGGAGAGGGAGAGGGAGCGCAGCCAGAGGAGCATGAGCCTTGCCACAGGGTGCTGGGGCCGGAGCACAGCCTCCAGACTGGAGCCGGGGGGCCTGGGGCAGAAGTAGAGCAGCCGGACGGCAGCAGCAGGAGGCAATCGTGCATGGCAGCAGCAGCAGCGGAGGTGAAACAACCGAGGCCTGTGGTGTGGGGTAGTGGGGCAAACATGGTGCTACTCATTGCCAGAGAGGCGGTCATAACTTTATGAGGCGATAACAGACTGGTTTCCCCCCTCCATGCAAAACATACAGGCCACGGTGATGGGGGCACTGGGTTTTTGCAGAGCACTGTGCAAAGAGGAACAAGAAAACTGCCTTTTCAAGCAGAGGGGCATCAGGAAGGGGAAGATGAATACTTTGGCAGCTTCTGGGTGCAGCTTTTTCCTGCCCCCCCCTTTCTTACCCAGGTTTGGTGATTGTAAATATGTGCCTCCTCAGCTTCTTAGCCATCAGTCAAAGATGCAACGGAGGGCGGGAGCATCCCAGTGCCATGTGCGGGCAGAACTGGAGGAGTCAGGCGGGGGAGCCACGACTGTGGGCTTGTTCTGCTATCTGAAGTGAAGGGAGCTGCATCCTGCCACCGCTTTGAAATAAGTTGCTCCACTTCTGGAATCTGGAGAGACTCGGGTTGGACACAGGGAAGAGTTCAAGACAAGCAAAGGATGCTTAGAACACACTCCTATTCTGCTAGGAAGCAAAGTCATGTTGACAATGGCTAATTCAAGGCATCTTTGGTGCGAGAAGCATGGGATCTGATTAGCAGTTTGTTTTATTTGGATACAATTTCCTATGATTATTTTTAAGTGAACATCTTAAAAAAGGAGGGAAAACAAAAACCAGATTTTGGAAACTGGTGGATTGTACTAATGCAGAGAAAGGATTTTATCTGCTGCTTTCTGCTCCTTGGTGTGTGAGGGAGGGGGCAGGATGAAAGAAGTTGGGCAGTTACCCAGTCACTACTTTGTACTTTTGGAAAGTACCAACAGTTAGTTTCAAGCATCTAGGAAACAAATAGCAGAGTGCTATTTTTGCTCAGCCTAAAAAAAGCGAAGTCCAAATTCTTCCCCACTCCGCCCACTTTTCTTCTGCCTCATGACCCTCTTCAGAAGGGAGTCCGTCCTTCTTTCCAACTTTTGCAATGGCTTTCAGCGGAGGATGTAAATTTTGCTTTTCTTTTTAACTATAGTTATGCAACTGTAAAACCTCATTGTTTTTATTTGTTTTGCACTGATAATTTTTAGAAAGGAGGCCTATTACTATTTTATGAAGCTACACCCTCCCTATTTATAGCGCATGACAGTCAAATGTTGCTAAGCCAGGATGCATCTACCCAAATGCAAACATGCATACACACACAGAGGGCTTTTCCCCACCAACAATGTCAGGAGATTTAAAAAGAACAAGTGCAACAAATTGAGAGGTACAAACCAAGGAAATGCGATTTTTAAAAGGAGAGGATAGAGATATCTTAAATTTCCCTAACTACTCTCTGTATAGGAGTTGCAGGTTTGATGGTTTGGATTTGCTGCAAAGTTCTGTGAAGTACATTTGCGAGCTCTGCCCCGAGTTCTAAAGAACGTGCTTGGTTTACAACACCTTATAGTAGCTGTTTGAGAATGGGGGTAAATTGCACAAGGGAACATAGACCTACAAGGAAGGGTCTGCAAAATTTCCCTAGCCACCATCACGCCACCTCACCCTGCAGATTCAGTTTCCAGCTGCTGCAGAACACGGTTAGCCTGAGATAATGGACTAGTTCTCCAAGAGTTGGGGTTGCCCTTTCTTGCCTATAGCTTCTGGCATTTTTTATATTTGCACAGGTGTGCTTCTTTGTTCAGTGTTCCACTTTATACGTAAAACATTTCCCCCCCTAGACCAACATCTCTTTCATTGTTTCTTCTTTTCAATACCAAGACTCGGCAGCACTGTGAATTACAGCCTCTTTCCAAGCCACGAGGCTCAACAACTCACCCGGACATGTAAAAAGCTACTTTGCTACATGGGTTTCAACACCAAATTTAAAATGGTGTGCTTCATCCATATGAATGTGATTGTCCAAAAGGGGTAAAATCCATTTATTTATCCATGGAAACTGCTGCTCTTTTCAAATGAAGCTTGCAACTCCCAACATTTCTTAAATGGTTGATGATGAGCCATACTGCAAGATTATAAGCCTCTTATCTCAGATGAAGTCAACAAGAAAATCTTGGCGAGTTTTTACTACTTTTTTTTATAAAAAAAAACCAAGCACTATTGACTTCCCTTTCTCCTCAGCCTAGCTCTTTGCAAATATACATTTTAAAAAATTGAGTGGGTGGGTGTTTGACATGCAGAATCCACATGGATTGCATTATAGCTCTTTGCTATCATCTGACCATCATCACAAAAACAGACTAGGCGGCCACATGATCTGGATTTGAGTTTCATTGATTTGGCCTCTCCCCTGAACAGTCAAGACATGACGTGTACATTATTCAAACTTTGAGACATTCAGTGGCTCCTTTTTAGTGTATGTGTGTGAGTGTGTGTGAGTAGATAGTGTAAAGGAAAAAAAACAATGTAAAATGCCTGGATACGGGTTGGGAGGAAGTGGGTGATATATAGTATATATATTATATATATATATATATATATATATATATATATGCAGTGAAAGTAATTTATTTTATGTACAAAACCTTCAGGTTTGTTAACATTTCAAGACCTAGCTTCGCCTCCCCCTTGTTTTCAGGCATAATTTACAACAAACGCATTTTATGGACCAAGTTCAAACTGTCCAAGGATGCTAAAAGAAATCTTCTCATTGCCTCTCGCCAATCCATATTTGAAACAAATGATCCGTAAGAGGGACAGTCATTCCTGTGTACCCCACCCCACCCCTTGGCCAGGCCTCTCCTCTCTTCCAGCCATTCTTGTTTTGTGTGTGTAAGGGGATGGGGTGGTTCTTCATCCTTCTTTGCGATTGTAATAATTTTGAATTAAGTGAGTGGCGAGCAAGTGACATTATGGCCGGAGGCTTTTTTCATTTTTTAAAGCTATCCAGGGTGCCATCATTCTGGTCCATGACTTATGTATGTATACCCCTCGTGTGTTGTCCTTGATGTTGAAAGCTGAACTTGCTACTCTGGCATTAAACAAACAATAGCAATAGCTTCCTTAGAAAGTAGTGTGGCTCCCTCTGGAATGAATCTGGAGAGCAGCATTCGCCATCCCAGTTGGAAATGCAAAGACTGATTTGTGGAATCTGAAGCCATCTGTATTTAATGCTGTAGCCTCAGTGATTGTCTTTCCTTGAGATCAGTGCCCCAGATCCAGTTTATACCTTAAGGGCCAGTAAGTGTCTATTATGAGGCTGTGTCTCTGTGGCACTTTCTGACAGCTCAATGGAGTGGGGAGGCAGGAATGCCCCAGAAAGGGCAGGTCTGCTAAACTTGCTGTGGGAACCTCAGGTGTGCAGACTTGCCCCTCAAGAGTCTTCTCAGCCGGGTGAATGAATGAGTGGTCAGGGAGAACAGTTTCAGTACACTGCTTATATTAGAGCCACCTGGACGTGCCTAGGACTCAGCCAGTATGGTGATCAGCCTTTCCCAACCTGAGACCTTCCAGATGTTTTTAGCTGCAAGGCCCAGCCAGCCAAGGAACAGGTAAAACTTGCACTTTTTGTCTTGGGATCACATAACTTCTGTTTGTTGTTGTCTTTGAAGTATGTTTTGCAAGTAATTTGGACTCTGAAGTGGTTTCCTCTTTTAAAAGACAGGGGAACATATTGGGGTGATATATGAGGAAAGGAGTGGTCAAGAGATCAGGAACTCCCCCCTTGCAAATATTTAGAGGAGCTTGCACCAGCAACCTGGCGTTTGGGTGGCATTTAGAATTCCCACGAGATCAAGTGCTCTGTCCACATCTCCCCCATCCTCCTGCCATAAGCCAAGGAACTTTGCATAATGCAGTGCTGTATGGTTTACATCATGTATTCACACTGCACAATTGGAGCTGCCTTGGTACGGAACAAGAATTTTGCTGAGTTTGGGTCTATTTTTTAACATAGACTTAATTTACTCTTTTCAGATGTTCCATATCAACAGACCTTGCGCTTGGGGGAAAGTTTTGCAGGGTAATTTGGTGCTGAAGTGTTTAAACTTGGCTAAAAATGTTTAAAGGCATCACATGGGACTAAACTTTCATTTCTTTTAAGCCAAAAAAGGCAAGCTTCTCGTCCATATGGGCAGGGGAAAGCCTAATGCTCTGAAAAGCCAAGGTGGGTGTGGAGTTTAATAAAGCTTGCCTCTGCACAACCCCCAAGTTTGCCAGAGCATGCTAAATTTTGGAAAGCTCCTAAAATGTTTGCAGTCTGAGAAAACAAATGAAACAAAAGCACACACATAGGTTCTAGGTGGCATTCCTATGACACAATCCTATACATAATTACCCAGACGTAATTTCCATTGTGTTCTGTGGCCTTGCTCCACATTACTCCCTGTTAAGTGTGTTTAGGATTGAAGCCTTAGATATTACAAAAGGGCACTGACAACACCAGCCTGCTGGAATGAAGCAGATCTAGATGGCGGGGAGTCTACCTAAGAACCCCATAAATACCACCCAGAATTCCATTCAAAGAAAATTAGGATATAAATGTACAAAACAATCAATGGTTTGAGGCCCAACCTGTTGTATACATTCTTCCCAAACAAGATAGCTTCCCTGTAATTCGCACTGGGGCCGGATTGTTAGCATCTTTTGACAAGCCAACTTTAATTTTGATGAACGTTTTGTATCTTAAAGCTAGCTCAAGGGAAGCTGTCTGCCAAAGGCAGGGTGGGGAGCGACGTCAGTTACAAACAAAACCCTCCTCCTCCGAGACAGTTTTATCCTGGGCTTTACTGGAGTCATCCCTCTAGTTCAGGTATTTACCACCATTGCTGCAGTTTTTCCTGTTAGTTCCAAAAGCATTAAAGTTTTGTCTCCCTCTCCTTCATCACTGAGACCCCACCCCACACTTCCTTCTCCTCCCTGACTGTCACTCTGTGTTCAACGATGTTCATTCTGTTGAATGGTGGGCGGAGGGCAGGCTTCTCAAAGATTCGGCTGGAGGGGCAGCACTCCAAGAACGTTCCCTATGGAAAGGTCACAAGGGCAAATCAGCCCAGAGTCCAGCTACCTGCCTTTGTGTCTGCATGACCCTGTCTGTCTCCTTGCTCTTGTATGTGAGGACCACCCTCTTCCTTGCTGGTCCTGCCGCCTCGTCCTGCCACCTGGTTGTGCTTTGTATATGGTTATCCCTTGTACGTTAACACCAATTAAAAGAAACGGGAAGGCTCTCTTGCTGTGTCTGCTTCTTTGCAAAGTCCACAAAAGGCATAAAGCTTCAAAGCCACTTGCTTTCAGAGCCCAAGAAAGTAGCCCTGAAGCATCAGACCAAATCCCAGCGTTCTGTCTTTATAACAGCCAGATTTCCGGGGGAAATCCGCAATCGGGACGCCATGGCATGGGCTTCCCTTCTTGCTGTTTGTCTCCAGATACTAAGGCACAAAGAGCCTCTCTACAGAGCAATGCCATTAAGCCCAGGGGCAAGGAACCCTTTTCAGCCTGGGAGCCACATTCTCTTCTGAGCGACCTTCTGAGGGCCACATGCAAAAGTGGGTGGAGCCATATAAATTTTACCTTTATACATTTGTTTCTACATACCCATAACACCCCTATCTCTCCTCCAAACAGGCAAGAGAGATTTCCAGCGTTCTAAGGCATTAGGCCCTGGGAAATCAGGGTTCACATCCCCACTGAGTTATGAAGCTCACCAGGTGACCTTAGGCCAGTCACTGCCTCTCAGCCTAACCTACCTCTCAGGGCTGTTGTGGAGTTCAGATGCAGAGCTGGAGGACCATGTACACCATCCTGAGTTCCTTGGAGAAAGTGGGATATAAATGTGATAGCAACATAATTATTCAGGGGGCAAAGCAGGTCCACTGGGGAGGTGCAGTGTGTGTGGCCTGGCTCAATTTCTGAGGGCCAGTGGACGAGACCTGGACTCTCATTTGGCCTCCAGACCTGAAGTTCATCATCATTCCTGCACTAAGCTATTATGGCTAAGAGTTACAGTAATATTTTCGTGCCCTGCAAGATATTCATGCAACATCCAACTAGTATGCAATGGAGAGAACTTGAACTGCATTTAAATTAGAGCTGCTTGTCAGTAGGGATCAGTCTATTTCTGCCCAGTGTCAGGTTAGCAGATGTTCATTAATAAGTCGGTTCTGTCTTGTTTCCATAAGCAAAAACACAATTGTGCTGCACATTTATCCTAAAATGAGCATTTTGTATTGCACTGCATATTTTAACCTAAAATAGAAATTTGATATGATTTTTGAGCACAGAGCAGTATTGGAAAAAATGGAGAACTGCAAAAATTATAACTGCAATCCAATCTGTTTATCAGTCTGCCAAGTATGAATTGGTCCAGTTCTCTGGTGTCCCCACTTGTCAGGGAGGAGGAAGAGGAAGCCAGAGGAAGCATCTCAGTTTCAAATCCCCCTTTCAGCCTGGAGGTTTAGAAGCTGGGTTGGGCGAGTCCAAACTTCTCAGCACTACCTATTTTACGGAGCTGTTATGCAGTATGTGCAATGTGGATGCATTTATAGCCCACTCTGAATCGCTGAAGCAAAGCAGGAAAGCTTTATTCGGTCTTATGTGCATGACTTTGGTTACATGTGGCTGAGTCGGAAGTTCTTCTTGGTTCAGTGGAACAACCCTGTCCCAGAACAGCACAAAACCATAATAAACAGATGATACCCTAAAACAGACAAGATGGGGAAGGCTGTTATAATGAACAGGCCTGGTATTACCTGCATCAGCAAGCCTGTGTAAGTTGATGACATGACATTTATTACCTGGACAAACCTGGTTGCTACCAGTTAAATAGGAGTGCTGTGATTTTGCAAAACAAAGACCACACCCTTAAAGGGCACAATCCATGTAAAGTGAAGCATTTTTTTAATCATTCTGTTAGTTTTGATGAAAAAGAGTTAAAGCAACAATTCATTGGCTTGACTCTTCTTTGGAGGAATAAGGCCAAAGTGTGAATTATTCTTCAGCACTGGGTAAATAATTAACAGGATATAATTAAAATGAATTTCTCACAAACTGACGTTTGTTTGATTACCAAAAGTTGGTGAGCAAACCACCACGTCCTGCCTCAGGAGAGCTGCTTATCAGTTCCCTTACCATACCTCTAAGGAAAGGGGTGGGTGTGAGGTCTACAATCCCAGCAACAACACTGTTGCTCTAAGGGTCGCTGGCAGAATCAGCAGGCTTCTCCTCCTGCCCCCCCCAATACATTTTTGGCATTGTAGTCTCTCTTGTGCCCCCCCCTTAATCAATTGCTTGTGCCAGTAACATGCACAGTTTAAACCTCTGCAACAACCCTGAGAACAGAGATTTAAACCTCTCCACCTAGCCCAGTGCTTCATTAAGGAAATAACCATCATAGTGATGGAGATGTTTTGTGTACCTGTGTGGTTGTGTGTGTAGTGTGTCACAGGCATGCAACCCTCAGAGGATTGGCAATGTTTGGCACTCGGGCCAAAAGCATTTGGCTACCCCTGGCATACAGAGATACACCAGATATATAATCTGCCCAAATGGAGCCTGGAAACAAAGCAAAGCATCATGGACAGAGTCGCTCCTGAAAGTATGACATGCTTGCCAATTGCATAGCTGTTGGCACAAGGACACATAAGGGCCCTCTAGCAAGGAAGCAAATTGTGTGGCACCCTTAAAGGGTCAAGGCTTTGAATTTCCCGTGAAGACAGCAGGTGTCAGCACTTTTCAGAATCCAGAGCTTAATGCATCCTATCTAGCTAACGCTGCAGCAGAAAAGTGTTACCATGTGGACCTGTTAAGGAAGCCTCAGTGCATTCCTGTTCCTATGTTAGGTAGGTGTAAGTGTGAAGTGGGAAACCAGAACAGCCTGAAGTGCGATCCAGATCTCACCACTAAGGTGCCCTTCTGCCCTTACGCAGAGGCTGCGTTGTGTCAGGCTACAGCACAAGAAAAGGTGAGGTAGCAGCAGAACATGGCTGACCAGCCACCTTGCCAAGCCCCACACCTGAGTAGATGCTGCTCAGCCAGAGATGCTAGAGGTGGGGCACAGCAAGAGTGGACCTGTGTGAGAACTGCACGCCCTTACCCTGCTCTTCCCAGCAGAACCCAAGAGCGTGAAACTCCCTCGGCCTTGAGCAGGAGGAGACAGGTTGCAGCTGCTGGTGCTCCTCCCACCACCTTCTTAGGACAGTGGATTTGGAGATGCAGCCTAGCTGCTTCCTCGCCCCTTGATGTGGAGGTTTCAGAGCCTAGACACCATGAAGCCAGCTGGGAAGTAGCTGGGCTGAGCTTTAGAAAAAAGTCCCCTCCCACACAGGAGAGAGGCAAGCAGGATCAAAGCCAGAAGCCTCCAGCCCACTTTCCACTTGGTCCATCGGCCTTGGAGGCAGGCAGAGCGGTAAAAGATCTCCACAGCATTTGTTGTCAGACTTCCGTCGCTTCCTTTCCAGTGACCTGGGTCTTCTGTTTTTGCTCACTTCCCTTTTGCTTTGGGATAATTATTTTCACTGTTTTTCACTGCTAAGGGAGGTGCCTTGATGAGGAAACAAGCTGGAGGCAGCAACTGGAAAGCCTCACAGGGGAGAACTGCAAAACAGAAGGATTTGTACTAGGAGCTGATGAATCTGGGCATCTTCCTGCCCCAGCAGTTCTCAGTCCTGATGGCACTGGCATGCAAATTCCATGGGGACGGGTGTGGGGTGTGGGGAGTGCAGTGCCTGGTTTCGGCAAAGCTTCTGCAGCTGGGAATAAAACCATCTCTGAAGACCATCCTGTTATCACTGCAGCATCCCCGTCCTCGCCTGGAAGGAAAGGCCATCTCCCCGCGTGGCTTGCTGTGAACAAAGGTAGATGCATTAAAGGTCTGCAAATCGTATCAGTCTTTGGTGCAATTTCTGAAGTTCTATTCATTTAAGGGGAACAGCATCAATGTCCCCACACTCTGCAGGCTTCTAAGGAAGGAAGGAAGGAAGGAAGGAAGGAAGGAAGGAAGGAAGGAAGGAAGGAAGGAAGGAAGTTCTCCTCTAGGATATGAAAAAGTCTTGATCTACAAACTGATGGAAACAAAGGCAAAGAGGACCTACATGGGAAAGTCTCAGCAACCCAAAAGTCAGCTTATTCTCTCTCTTAGCAATAAAACTACTAGCATATTTCCAAAGCTAAGCAGGGTCTGGTATGGTTTCAAATTGGATGGGGGACTGCATGTTGAGATTCTTGCATTGCAGGGGGTTGGGCTAGATAACCCTCAGGATCCCTTCCAACTCTACAGTTCTATGATTCTATGACACTGAAGTCAGTGGAACCACTTTAGGGGAATTAATAAGCCACTGAACAAAACCCGGCCTACAAAGCCCAGCCTTGTCCTCTAAATATTCAAGTCTACAGTTGCCAGATTACATCCGTTAGATTCTGCAATAATAAACAGCCACATACCCTGTTAATTTCTTTATGCCTCTCCTTAGTAACAATCTCCTCAAGGACCTCGCCATCACCTTTAATAAGTCTGGAATTGAAACACAGATTGTAGTCCTGGCCAACTTGCACAAACAGTAGATGTCTATATGCCCGTCATATCAACAGAGGGGGGCATAGCTCCCTGCTTTGCATGCAGAAAGTCCCTGACTCAATCCCCAACTACATCTCCAGGAAGGGATGGGAATTTCCTGTGCCCCAAACACTGGAGAGCCTCTGCCAGTCAGTGTAGACAATACTGGGCCAAGAGGAACAGTGGTCTGGCCAGTATGAAGCTGCCTCCCATAGTTAAGAATGTGAGAATATAGGGATCGCCTTGCTGCAATGGGGCCAGCCACAAAGAATGCCAACTCAGCTGCAGCAGAAAAACCAAATTCCAAGCTGGAGCTTATGAGGGGTAGGATTAAAAGCAGGGCTGTATTCAACAAAGTTCTACTCAAGAGAAGAACCTTAACTGTCACATTTCAAATGGTCTTCTCTGAGTATGACTACAGCTGTATACAACCCACAGCTACCAGTGTCATGATGCGCTTCTCCCTGTCTATGGCGCAGCCACACTTGGACCAAACCCCAAAGGGATCCTGTGAACGGTGCAGAAAAGGGGACACAACATAACCGCAAGTCTGGAGCACCTTCCCTACATTAGGGGCTTTTAAGTTTAGGAAGAAAAGGTTCATAAGCTGAAGAACATGGCTTGTTGTGCCCACTCGCTTTATCACAGTCCAGTTCCCCATTTGTAAGATGGAACCAACAGTGACTGAGCACATGGTGATGTTGCAAGGGGAAAATAAAAGTAAGTGTAAAAGCTCTGTGCGTGGTGCTTTTAAAACGATACTATTAATCGGGGTCAGCATTTGCAAAAATAAAGTGCCAATGAAGGAACTTAAGAACAGAAAATACAAAGAGCTCTGTAAAGAAACTGAACTATGTGGTCGTTTCAGAGGATAACGCAGATGCAGGAGAGAAAACCCAGAGGGTCTACATAAATTTAACTTAGTGACAATCTTCTAGTGACAACCCCCCCCCCACGCAACACACCTTGTTCTTCCTGTTTCAGGGTCAACGACTCTCCTTATCACACTCTGCCGAGCGTCCCACTCCTCTTTCGTCATGGGCTTCATTGCTTGGATGCGGGATTTCTGCTCGTCTGTCAGGGCTGAGAGGCAGAACCAAGTCAGAAAACAGTGGTCTCACCAATAGCTCTGGTATTACCACTGGTAGGGAGAGCACTTTTGTTGTTCAATCCCACAGAAAAAAGCTCCTCCAGTGTGTTCAGAAATCACTGCACTATCAGTTAAAAGTAAGGTAAAGGTAAAGGTACCCCTGCCCGTACGGGCCAGTCTTGACAGGCTCTAGGGTTGCGCGCCCATCTCGCTTAAGAGGCCAGGGGCCAGCGCTGTCCGGAGACACTTCCGGGTCACGTGGCCAGCGTGACAAAGCTGCATCTGGCGAGCCAGCGCAGCACACGGAACGCCGTTTACCTTCCCGCTAGAAAGCGGTCCCTATTTATCTACTTGCACCTGGGAGTGCTTTCGAACTGCTAGGTTGGCAGGCGCTGGGACCAAACGACGGGAGCGCACCCCGCCGCGGGGATTCAAACCGCCGACCTTTCGATCGGCAAGCCCTAGGCACTGAGGCTTTTACCCACAGCGCCACCCGCGTCCCTTCAGTTAAAAGTACAAATAGCTTAGTAATGATTTTTTAAAAATCCATCTAGTAATAAACAAACTTACAGAAAATGGATCTAATTAAGGTCCCTATTGCAAGACTGCAACATTCATTTTGCCACTCATTAACCAAGAGTGTTGTTATTGTTTTCCAATCCTACCTTGCCTGGGGGAGGATCTTACCTGGCCCGGAGTCTCCCAGGGTCTCTTTCTGCCACTGGTCCAGGGAAGGGCCAGGGAGTGCCTCCCCCTTTGTTGCTCCCTCTTTCTCCCTCCCCTTTGATTTATTCTTTGCTTTCTTCTTGGTTTTCCTCTTCCTCTTCTTCTTTTGCTTTTTATCTTTCTCTTTGCTTAGCTTCTTCTTGCTCTGCTTCCTCCTTTTGCGGTTGGATTCATCGTCACCTGACACATCTGTAGAGGAATCGGAAGAGGAGGACGATCCTGAAGATAAGGAGCTGGTCTCGGAGGAGCTGCTGCTGCTGCTGCTGCTGCCTCTTCTCCTTTTCTTCTTCTTCTCCTTCTCCTTCTTCTTCTTCTTTTTCACTGGAACCCAGCATCAATCAGAAGTCACCAGGGAATATCTATCATGTTGCAATACATCACCAGAACTGTTACCCAAAGGGAGAAAAAAACTGAGGGAATTCACTTTTCTAGCCCTGGACAGAACCCAGAACTGGAACTTGTTGATTGGCTTAATTGCTGTGGCTTCACCTCCAAGAATAACCTAGGCATTGTAACTGGGGTTGGGGAGGCAACGTCTAGTGTCTCCATGGGATTCTTTGCCTGGGGTGGGGGCAGCCAGGACATTTTTCTAACCCATTAATATGGTTTGAATCTGCTGCATAGATGTGGCTCTGAAGTCAGTGCCCAACAAATGATATAATCAGAGGCACTGATTTTAAGACACACCTGGATGTTACAAAAGGCAGCTGTCAGTGTGCAGCCATCGCTCGCTTGAGGGACAAAGCTTAAGAAGGCAAAGTTTCAAGCCCTGAAGGTTCTGGTGGGAAGTTCTATGAAAGCAAAAGGAGTGATAATTATTAAAAAAACTACGGGAGAAATACTCTGCTCTGCAGGCTGCATTCTACACAAGTGCCTCATCCTAAGCAAACAAGGGGGCCATGGTGGAGGGTGCAGGAAGCAGCCTCAGTGACCAGAAAGTGACAATAGCTCCCCCAGGAAACTGCACTACTGGCCAACACTGACAAATGCTACCCCATTGAGAGATCAGAGTTCTGCATTTCTTAGGCCATTGCTTCAGAAGCAGCTGACACCCTCTCCCACATCCTTACCTTCTTTGCTGGAGGCTGAGCCCATTCGGACCCTTGGGGGCTCAGATCCTCTTTTGCTGGCGGGAGACAAACTCCTCATCCTCCCCTGGGATTCTCTGCTGCTTCTCCTCCTTTCCTTCTCCTTCTCCTCCACATCTCGCCTGCTCTGGGAGTCGCTTCGGCTCCTGCTCCGAAACCTTTTCGTCGCCTGGCTGTGAGCCATCATACTCTCAGGTCTGTTCCAAACAAGGAGATCTATTTACTTGCTTGGCTACCTATGACGATCCTGCCCTTGAAGATCACACTCAGTCTTACTCAAGTTTCAAACCAGCCAGAAGTAAATGTCCATTCAGAAAGGTCTTGGTTAGGGAAATTTGATCTTGCAAGGTTTGCAAAATAGCAGCATCCCATCCATGTTTCTAGTCAGAGCCAAGGATTGCACTTTGGCCTATTCAGATGTGAAGCCATGGCATGTAGTCATCTAATCCTTCCTTGGCCATTGGGGCTACAGGTTACTGCAAGACCCTGAAAGTTCTATAGGTTAATTCTATGCCAAGTGGTTCATTCTTTAAAATGAAAGGAGGGAGAAGCTGTGACCCTCCTGAAGCTCCTAGACTACAACTCCCACCATCCCTGACCAAGCAGGCTGGGGCTGATGGGAGCTGGTGTCCAACAACAACTGGAGGGCCACATCCCTGCCCTACAGCCTAACACAATATATTTGCTAGCCTTTCATGTGCCACAATGGGGGTCAGGTTTTTTTTGTTTTTAAAGCTTGGCAACCTTCCTCAGATTAAAGCAGCCTTGGAGCTCAGCAGCCAGGGCTGTTTCTCTCAGGGCAACAACTCTCCCCTCAGTTGACTAGAGAAAATTTAAAAATAAAATGACCACAATAACTCATTCATCATTAGCTTGGGATAATTTCTAGTGCACAACCGTCTTTTTCGTAACTCAAGAGCAGTTTGATTTTATTGTCTTCTTTAAACTGGCTGTTGCCGTTTCAGTTTGTCGTTTTATTTGGCTGTAGTAGGTTTGCCTGATATTCTTCTTCTTCATTATAACTGTACTTTTTATTCCCTACTACTTTGTAAGTCGCTTTGGGCTGCCTTGGGCAAAATTAAGTGACTAACAAATCTTAATAATAATAATAATAAGCCACTCCGGGAACACAAATCTGCGTCAACGTTGCTCTGTAAAATTCGTGCATCTATAATATATACCTGCGCGCGCACTTCGGCCCCTTTAACACCCAGCTGCGCGTTGACCCTTTTAAGAAAACCCGCGCGGTTTCTGCTGTCCTTCAAAGCCTTTCCACCCAATCCCGGCGCTCCGTCTCCCCCGCCCTCTTTCTAAGCCCCGCCTACCAGATAAGGGCTCCGTCAGGCAGCCAACGCGCATGCGCACTGGGTGCCTGCTCGCCAGAATCTTTGCGGAACCAATTTCGCCCCGTCCCGCCGGACTCACCCCGCCGGGTCCGGGCCTCGCCCCGAGGGAACAGGGCGCGCGGAGAAGCGGCGTTGCAGAGGCCGGCCTTCTAGGGCTGGGCTGCGCCTCCGCAGCCCCGGAAACCGAGCGGGGCCCCCAGCAACTCTTTCGAGTTTCCTCGGCCACTTCCTGTCTGCGCCTCGTCCGTCGCCATGAAGGGTCCGGCGGGGAACACTGAGGCCGAGCATCTTGGTTCCCAGCCTCCCGAAAACCCCTTCCCTGAAGCGCCGCTGGGTTGTTGGGCTCCAGCTTCCCTCGGCCCCGGGAGCGAGTGGCAAGAGGTCAGGCCAACATCTGGAGGGTGCCGAGTGGCCCAGGGGGATCCCTGCAACCAAAAAAATCGGGGGAGCGGAGCCGAAGATCGAGGATCCCCGTTTTCTTTCTTTCAATTTTTAAGGGGAAAAATTCTCCTTTTGTGTTCTGTACGTGTTTGTTCAAAAATACCCAAAGTGGCGTTCAAGAACAATAATCATAAAAAGAAGCAAAAAATAAAATGGTAAACCATTTTGTGGGATCAGTTTAGATCAGAAGGTGGAGCGTGCATCTTTTGAAATAAATATTATTTAAAATAAAGCAGTATAATCCATATTTTTAACAATTGGCAAAACATGCATTTAGTAGTTGCTTCTTACATTTTTATCCCACCTTTTCATCACAGAACTCGAGGCAACACACTTTTTTATCCTCGCAACAATACTGCAAGGTAGGTTAGGCTGAGCATAGCCCAGAATCTGGCAGCAGACTTTGAGTCAGTAGCGGTTCAAGCCTGGATTTGAACGCTAAATAAGCAAACAAAGCAAAACCTGCCCCATCTTTGTTTAACACTCTTAACCACAAAGGCTTTACTATAATGATTTTGTACAGTACACTCTAAGGTACAGTATGTCTACTCGGAGGCATGCACCATTGAGTTCAATAGGGCTCCCTCCCAGGAAAGTGTATATTGGATTGCAACCTTTCATTAGTCCAGCTCTTATACGAACAGTCAATTTGGGTCCTGCTTCAGTTTTCTTATTGCTTCCACACAAAACGCAACAAAATATAATTTATATTCTGTACCACTATTATCTTATCCTTTACTTTAATGAAAATATGCTATAAATTCCATGCATGTCAAACTGTACCCCAGTGGGTTGGTGAAAGAACTCTGTATTATTGTTGAAAACAGCCATTTTGGCAATTGTCATGGGGATTTGTCTACAAATATAATGGCCAGATGGGATTTTGACAGAATAAAGGTAAAGGTACCCCTGCCCGTACGGGCCAGTCGTGTCCGACTCTAGGGTTGTGCGCCCATCTCACTTAAGAGGCCGGGGGCCAGCGCTGTCCGGAGACACTTCCGGGTCACGTGGCCAGCGTGACAAGCTGCATCTGGCGAGCCGGTACCAGTGCAGCACACGGAAACGCCGTTTACCTTCCTGCTATAAAGCGGTACCTATTTATCTACTTGCACTTTAGGGGTGCTTTCGAACTGCTAGGTGGGCAGGAGCTGGGACCGTAGACGGGAGCTCACCCCGCCGCGGGGATTCGAACCGCCGACCATGCGATCGGCAAGCCCTAGGCGCTGAGGTTTTACCCACAGCGCCACCCGTGTCCCCTTTTTGACAGAATAGAGCTGGACAAAAATATAATTGACTTATTTATTGACAAGTTTTATATGACTTACTGTATGTTAGGGTTATCCCTCCAGCTGCTGCAGAGAGGGAGGGTGATTCAGGAGTGTTGCTGTTACTTAAAAATAAAACGAAATTCTTTGCAACCTGCTTTGGTCTTTCTAGCATAGCTAAAAAATAAAACAGAATTTTGTTGGCACCTTGGTTCCCCCCCCCCTTGCTTAACGAGCTCAGATTACAGCTGCTCTCCCCCTCCTCTCTGCCTTCCGCTGCTAACTAACGGTTCTCTCCCTATGCCTGCTTCTTCTTCTCCTGTCAGCATCTGAGCTTCGCTGACAAGAAGTGACTGGCGCAGCATTCCCTCACAGGATGGCATGGGCAGGGTAAGGGTTTGTATACTGGGTAGTAGATTGCAGCCTGGTCTATTGCTGTCATTTTATGGATCAGTGGTCTCGTTAGATAGTAAAATTTATGTAAAATTGCTGTTTTAGGGGTTGTTTTTCATAGTCGGATTAATCGGTTTTCCTTTACTTTCTATGGGAAAGCATGCCTTGGTTTAAGACCGGACTCCAGAACGGATTAAGTTCATAAACCAAGGTACCACTGTAAGGCATTATTTAATGGTACTAAGAGCCATTATAAAATTGGTGAATTAATTGAAAGGTAAAAAATTGCTTAGAAACATAAAGAGTAGCTTCCTATTTAAAAGGTCAGTCTATTGACGCTTATATAGTGGGACCTTGGTTTAAGAACAGCTTTGTTTATGAACAACTTGGATTAAGAACACTGCAAACCCGGAAGTAGGTGTTTTGGTTTGTGAACTTTGCCTTGCATGCAGAACATGTTTCGCTTCCTGTTGAGTGTCTTCCATTTGTAAATTGAGTCCCCTGCTGCTATGGGAAAGCACATCTTGGTTTAAGAACGCTTTGGTTTCAGAACAGACTTCCGGAATGGATTAAGTTTGAAAACCAAGGTACAACTGTATATTGAAATAAGTGTGTTGAATCAAAAGTCTTAACAAAACATCCTTAAACAATGAAAAGGCAACAATCATTTCATTTCCTACACCCTTTATTTTACACCACTGTAATGGCCAGATGTGATTTTGACAGAATAGAGCTAGACAAAAATATAATTGACTCAGAACACCAACATTTCAAAACACACAACCATTCTCTCATCCCACTCACAGGGAAATGAATGGTGTTGGAGATTTTTTTGCCTCCTTTCATCAGAAGGTTACTTTTGCATTAATAAATGTGTGCAGATTAATTTTCAAAGTGGACATTTGATTGCATCTAGAGGCTTGCACCAACCAAAGACAGCTGTAAGCTGGCCTCTGAATTGGAAATTGTATGAAATTAGTTTGCTGGGAAATCAAGGTAGACAGTTGGAAATGAATTAAAAATAAAATGATGTTTTTTAAGGTTAGAGATAATTGCAATTGTAAGAGCTATCAGCTTGAAAGGAGGTGGAGGGGAGAGTAAGAGATTATTACTACCCTTTCACATGGTGACTGTCAACTGTAAGTCACAGAAGACATCTAGCCCATCAGCATAGGCTCCATTCCTCACGTAGCACACTGTTGGCTACAGTGCACCCCCTGCAGCCACCTTTCCCTGGAACACAGCAAAGAGCTCAACTCCCTTTCTCACCACGCACATGATAGGCTTCTGTTTCCCATTTTGCACTTCCAGCACTCGTCGCTGCCTGCATCTTGTCTAACATAAGCCCCTCCAAAATATGGCAAATTCAAAATGAATTGTACATCAGGAATTTAGCTCCAGCATAATTGGCAAGCGAAGTTGGCATCATCTTCCTAGTCAGCAACCTGTGGTCTGTAGGTCTGTTTGCGCTAGCCACAGTCCCACTTTTTATTTCATGTAGTTCCACTGATGCAAGGCTGGAAGAAGTCTCTCAGTGATTTGCAGCAGTTGGAACACCCACTCCAGCCAGTTGAGATCCTTCTTGCTGCTCTCAGCACTATTGCCAACTTGCCTTTCGCTGTCTGAACCACCACCTGCTTATTCTTTAAGCTACAGAAAAACTAGGGCAATGCAGCCAGCAGCTGCTGATTTTTTCTAGCAGCCTTTGTGCAAAACAGGAGAGGCCTCGTGATTTTTACCTGTGTTTCAGCTTGCATGACTCGGGTGGATAAAAAGGGGGTGCAGAGCTGTACAGGGGAGGGCCTACTTTCAAAAACAGAAAAAGTCCTCCCTAAAAGGGTAGCTTTGTTTGCTTTAGCTCTGGTGACAACTGCATTACAATAGTTCAGACAGGAAAATCCACAGCCTGGGAGGGAAGAATGGCGGCCATAAAAATGAATATCCTTCCAAAACTACTATTTCTATTCCAGAATATTCCAGTAATTAGAGGAACAACAATGTTTAAGGAATGGCAGAAAACCCTGTCCAGGTTTATCTGGCAGGGGAAAAGAGCAAGAATTAAGTTTAAATTGCTCACAGATAGGAGAGAAAGAGGGGGGTTTGCTGTTCCGAATTTGCAATTATATTATGAGGCTGCAAGCCTATGTTGGGTAAAGGAATGGATAGTTTTGGAAAATTCAGATGTGTTGGACCTGGAAGGATTCGATGTTAGATTTGGCTGGCACGCTTATTTATGGCAGGATAAAGAAAGGGTGCATAAGGGATTCTCCCACCATATTGTCAGAGGAGCGCTGCTAGAAGTATGGAATAGAACTAAAAGATTGTTGGAAAAAGGCATACCTTGGTGGTTATCGCCGGTTAACATCTCATCAGTGATAAATGTAAATGGAAGAACCCAAAGATGGACTTACGAAGATCTCTTGACTAAATCGGATAAAGGGTGGAGAATTAAATCATATGAGGAATTAAAGGACAAGTCAATAGGGTGGCTACAAGTTCACCAAATTAACGCCCTATGGAATGAACACAAAAAAATAGGGATGAACGAGAAAAAATCCAAATTCCAGGTGGAAATATTAGAAGGGAAAAGTAAGCTTTTATCCAAAATGTATAATCAATTACTGGATTGGGAGACTAAGGATGAGGAGGTGAAGGAGGTCATGATAAAGTGGGCCATAGATTTGGGATACAGCTTAGAATATGAGAGATGGGTGAAACTTTGGACCAAGGATATAAAATTTACAGCATGCGTTAGCCTCCGAGAAAACATAGAAAAAATGATGTATCGCTGGCATATTACCCCCATTAAGCTAGGAAAAATGTATAAAACTGGAGACAAAAGATGTTGGAAATGTAAAAAAAAAGAGGGCGACTTCCATCATATGTGGTGGGCATGTGAAGAAGTAAGGAAGTTCTGGGGTTCTATTTATGACGAGCTGAAAAAGATTCTGAAATACACATTTCCAAAAAAACCAGAAGCTTTTCTTCTGGGAATGATCGGTGAGGAGATTAGGAAAGAAGACCAAACCATGTTCCAGTATGCAACGGCAGCAGCCAGAATATTACTGGCACAGAACTGGAAATCATCTAAAACCCCAACTATTAGTGAGTGGCAAAGCAAGCTATTTGAGTACTCAGAGTTAGCAATAATGACACAGAAGATCAGGCATCAGAGTAATAAAACTTTTATTAACGATTGGAATAAACTTGTAACATACATGGGGAAAAACTTAGGTAACATTAAAATAACAGTAGGTGAACTAT